CCAAATTTTGGGTACCTTATGGGGCAAACCTTGCGCATCTTTTGATAAAAAAAAAAATTTGACCGGGTCATGTCAGGTCACGGAGTTATGACGTCACAAAGGGAACAGCCTCCGGCCGGATTTTCACAAACCGAGTGCCAACGCCCGAGGTTTCCTGCCGGTGGTACGGACATCGGTTGATGGATCGTGATGAAACTTCCCATGCATGTTGGGGCAAGTATTGGCTATCATATGGTATAAGAAACTTGACCGGGTCAGGTCAGGTCACGGAGCTATGACGTCACAAGAGGAACAGCGTCCGGTACTATTTTTTAAAAGCGCCCGAACCACTATTTTGCTAATTCTTGTCACCTCAATGGGAATATGCAGCAATATTAGCTTCTATAGGGAGCAAATGGACCTCCCAAATCCAAAAATACAATCAGATTTCAAAAATTTAAATTTTGATTTTTCGAATTTCTGCCGCCGACTGTGACCTTGCCGACTTCCGGCGCTCCCAACGCGCCATTTTTAGAGCTAAGGAAACGAAATACATACCAAACGATAGAGAATTGATCAAGGAACACGATAGTGAAGGTTTCAAGTCGATATCTTCCACCGTTTTGCCGCAATCACCGCGGAAAGTTGAAAAAAGTCTATTTTTCCGAAAATTTGACCTTTGACCGGTCAAAAGTAGGTCAAATGTTGACCTAGGACCAAAAAATATACCACCAATCGCGAGATCTCGGCGAGAGCAATCCGTTGGTCTTTTCCGCTAAGCTCTACGACGCTCCGTTTTCAAACGCCAAGGGGGGGTCGCACCAACCCCCCCCCGTGCATGGGCGAAGGTGGCAGATCGCCGTTTACGGGCGAGGGTTAACCCTCGCGGGCCCGGGGGGGGGGCGTTTTTCGCCCCCCCCCTGGCGAATATTTGCGATAACTCCCGAACGCTTAGGGATAGGAAGGCGAAACTTTCAGTACCTTTTCTCCCATCAATTTGACATCTCCTGAAGTAAAAAATTTGGACCTAGCCCCCTTGATGACGTCACAAGGTCCATTTTCCTAGACCCCTGCACGGCAAAAATCGGCGTCACAGACGCAAACTTCAAATAGCTGCTAAAAATAGAGTTTTAGAGATAAAGACAAATTACGAGCACGGCTGTGTAGCGTTTGACCTAGAGAAAAATAGAAAAATAGTTTTGGTGACCTGAGGTCAGAGGTCAGGTCAACGACCCCGAAATGTGGTTTTAGTTTTTCGCAAATAACTTCGACAAAAATGGCCCTAGAGCTTCGGCAGTGGTACCATCGCATTCGCCTTGTCAAGCCGCGTCGAATGATATATATTTTGTTCGGAAAAGGTCAAGTTTCATGTTGACCTCATGTGACCTCGAATGACCTCTGGTTGACCTTGACACATGAAAGGTCGTTTATGATGGATTTGTACCCGCTGATCACGAATCTGGCATCTATTTTCCTCTAAGCCTTCATTTAGAGCTTCCGGATGGCAAAATTATCTTTTTTATTATTACTAACTTGAATCAGTGAAATAGCTTCTAGCAGGGATACTCTTCTGTGACCTTGACCTTTGAGCAGCCTTGTATCGTAAGATGAACCACAAATAGAGAACTGATAAGCCTCAAAACATTTCAAAACATCTTGGAAGTTAGCACGCAAGATGTGCGAAAAAGTGCCAAGTTTGAGGTCAATTTTGAGCGTGACCTTGACCTTGACCTTTGATTTGGAGCACATTTTCAGAATCCTCAGATTCTCTTCTTTCGTTTGACACCCAATTTTGTCGGTTTGATGCAGCCTGCCGTCCTCTAGAAGGCTTACTTTAAGATCACTACACATGTGCCGGTTTTGGCCTTTGACCTTGACCTCTGACCTTGAAAATTGACCTGAGGTCAAAATTTTAGGTGCATTAGAATCGTCTCGTAAGGACCTTTCGTTTGGTATCGCTTTTGTTTCCGTAGCTCCCTTATTTACGGAGTTAGACAGGGGGGGCGAAAAACGCCCGGGCTGCGGTGGTTGGGATTACCCCCCGGGCCCGGCCGGGTTAAGGTCCTCAGAGACTGGTATGAGACCTAAGAAGTATGGATGTTTTATGTTTTTGTTTTTCTAGACCTCGTGATAATCGACCAGGGGCCAGGTCTTTGCCCGTTATATCAGATGTCCATGGGGCCCACCAGTTATTTGGGGGGGGGGGACGGGAGGCAAATGGTATGATGGATTTTTTGGTGACATGACCTGATGTCTTCCCCTGATTCGACGACTGACGAGCATTGCTTCCTATGCGGCTCGCTCTCATGCACTCTACTTACGTAGGTACTTGATAGCATTTATCCTTTTTTATAGTTGCCTACTCGTATCTGTTTTTTTGTCTGTCGACATGTTATGAGGAAGACTGAAGTAACAGAGTGGCGTTTAAGTGAATTGTGAATGGATATATGTAAACGTGCAATGAAGCATTCGTACAAATTGTCTAGGCTCAAAGGCTTTGCTGAATGTGAATCAGTTAATATTTAAGTGAATCAGCTATGCCGAATTCTGAATGTTTTATGAAGTGGCAAAATTTGCAGCGGGATTATTATAGTAATTCATTTTGCCCTGTCCTGCACACGCTGAACGTTTGGCCGGAATGCCTCGTACCACCTACATATAAGGTGTAAGCAGAGGGAACGAATGTGTTCTTTTCTGCTTTTTCAATGGACCATCCAATGATGCAAAAAGGTACACTATAGTCTGCAACGGTTTATAATTTCAAATGAAAACGGGCTTACATTAATTGCAATAGTTACTGATTCAGCTATTGTTTGTTTTGTTTTGTTGGGAGCAGGTTGGTCTGAGTAGGTCATTACAGAGCTATGGAATCATAAGATAGGATGTAAACTGTACACAGACGTTGGACTGTGCGGACTACCGACAGTGAGCCGCAGCAGCAGAGACCGTCCTGGTGGGACGATAATGTGCCGATAGGACAGCACATCAGCTGCAGCTCAGTCACCTCGGAGAGAGAGTGCAGACTGGAGGAGATGCCCTCATCACCCTTTTGTTGGTTGAGGTTGTCTTTTGGGAGTAACCGCCAGCCCGGAAAGGGAAGCGTATGGGAGATGCGGATGGGCTTATTCTGCGGTTGGCCAGGACGGATAATAAGCTTTTAATTTTGTATGACAAAAATACCTGAGCTCCTATCGAGAAAAGGTATGACAAAAATCACCTGTGCTCCTATATCGAGGGCTGAAATGTGACGAGCGGCGGGAGGGATGGTAAACTCGGGTGTTCGTTTATGGATATCACGTGTACATTTTAGTCCCGGCACGTGGATTCTTATGACACATATTTCTGATTTCGGCCCAAGTCCAACCTTTTCACCGAAGCCCCAGTGGGGGATCCCAGTTTAAAAAAACATTATTTGAGTCTTATTAGCCGTTTTCACGACGGGCTATCCGGCGAGTGCACCTAATTTGACCAAAGTTGCACCTAATCTCTTTTACAGCAAATGTCTTTATTTTATGAATTTATTTCAGTGTTTTAACCCGCGCCCGGCTGGGGGTCCTGGATTTCCACGCCCTGCTGGGGGGTGTTTGAACACCCCCCCTTCTAACTCGGCTCCTGGGCCACGTAGCGATACGCGGAAGGCAGCGTTCGAAAGAGCGTCAAAAATAATGACGAAATCACTTCGGTCAATTTTTTGGTCAGGTCAAAGGTCAGGTCATCAGAGGTCATTGAAGGCAAAATTTCGCCGATTTCCAGGTCGAATGTCGACAATTTCCAAGAAACCAACGCATAACTCGGGAACCAATAAAGCTACAGCGCCGCGGAAAAGCGCATTCGATAGCCCTATTAACGCCCTTTCTGGGTAATTCTCTCAGATTTGACCTAACGTCAACGGTTTTGCCTGCAGGGGGCAAAAACTGCAAAAATAGCCGATTTTTTCGAAAACAGTTTTTTCTGCAATAACTTTTGCCCCAAGCCTTGTACGAGCTTTCTTTTACCGGCATCGTGTTCCTCTCATCAAGACGCATCGAATGAACTATAACTTGACCTTGGAAGGTCAACTTGAAAATTTGACCTCAGGTCAAGGTCATGACCTGACCGGAAAGGTTCATGTTGCTTATCAGTCGATCCGTATCGTCGAGCTGAACACATCTAAGGCGTTTTCATCGCTCTAGCATGGCTCTATCAAAAGTTATTTGCGAAAAACTGTTAGATACCATTCGTGACCTAAGATGACCTCAGGGCATAAACAGGGGTCACGGACACCATTTTCATGTTCAGTGTGTCGAAACCACTTGTAATATAGTGTTTGGGAGTGTTTATAATGTCTTTCGTCCAAAAGAGGCGCATTTCAATTTTCTCCCATTGACTTATAATGGGAAGGTCGCAAAATTGACCTGACCTTAGGTCATCGATATCAAAATTCTGAGATATAAATTTTGTACATGCTATTGCTCTTAGCAATCCCTGAAAGATTCAAAGCGATCACTCGGTGTCGCTTTGATTCAGGTCGGTCACTCGGTGTAGCTATGACAGACATTGAAACTTTTTATGAGGTGAGGTCACTTCAAGTGACCTGGTGACCTGACCTTGAATGACCTTGGTCTGAAATTTTCACAACATGTGTAGAATTGATGTATGATAAGGTGAACCAAAAGCGGCGGCGCTCCGCGCCGCCGTTTTTGAGATATTCGCGAAAACCACAACGAGGGTGTTCAAACACCCCCCCCCCCAGCAGGGCGCGGGTTAATCGATGGTTCTCTCTGATAATATGACAAAGCAGGCATATAAGCAAATAGTGTAACCCTAGCTGATAGCTACTAAGAGACACACTGAACCTATTTAATTTGGCCAGATCTGCACCTAATCTGCACCAGATGTGCACCAAACGTGTACCAGATGGCCGTCGTGAAAACAGCTATTGTTGACCACAATGATACCGGGATATGAAAATAGGCAGGCTCGTTGGTGACTCAGCCAGGGCCAAAATTGAGGCGGGACGTCGGAGCATGTAAGTACCGGAACCGAGGCGCGGGGCGTCGTGCCAGTCAGGTCGATACGCTGTCGAGGGGCCACCAGTTGCCAAGCAGGGTTACACAGTCAACAGAAAATGGCAGTGGACTACGACGGCAGCGGGCAACGCGGACAGAATAGCAGGCCACGCGGACAGGGCAGCGGGTCACGCGGACAGGACAGCGGACCACGCGGATAGGGCAACAGACCACGCGGATAGGACAGCGGGCCACGCAGACAGGACAGCTTCCGGCCAGCGCAACGGGCCACCGCCAGGTAGGTAAAAGCTCTGCTTATGGGTGCAATGATGGTGTAGTGGGCGCCCCTTTTTTGCCAGGAAGGTACTGTGGACGACGTGAAAGGAATGTAACATTACGCGATGACTGTGAACACATAGGTATGGATTCGATGGGCTGTGGACATGATAACTATGGGTACCTACAGTAAATATAAAGCTACATACAAGAGGCCAGAGGCGCTAATCACTGAGCTGCACGGTGTGGGTGGCCACAGGTGATCGCGTGTAGCGATGCTCCTGCGGGCCGGTCGCCGTACGGCTCTCCTCAAAGTGCTGGGGGCCCTCTGCGCCGTCACCCTGGTCATCAGCATCGCGTCGCTGCTCCAGTACGAGAATGTGTGAGTAGCCAACGCAGCTCGTGCTAGCCAAAGAGTCCGCGACTCCGCATACGTAAGTCTTGTAAAGGTAAAGTACTCATAAACGGGTTTAAAACTCAACATAGTATAATAAGCGATCCTATTTACCAGAAAGTCGACTTTGGGGCGATAAGCCAGGGAGATCAAAGGTGCAGAGCGGCAGAGCCCTGCATGCGCTCAAGTAACTACGGCACGAGACCCCTTAGCTGACTCGTGCCGCGGTCACCGTTCTAACTGACCAATATCGTTTGTATGTAAGCACCAACTTCGAGTTGAGCGTACATGTCGACTCCCATGTGCCGACAGATTTAGTCGTGGTTACGACTACGACGAGCTGCCTGAAGCGCCGGCGTTCTCTCTGAACTTGTACCGTCAGTTTTTCGACTATCTGGAGACGCCGCTGGCCGCGTGCCGGCAGCTGGGTCGGTTTAGCCGCCGCACCGGATGGGAGGAGCCAGCGCTCTGCCTCTCTGAGCCTGTCGATATGTGGCGCGTCACAGACTGTCTCGTCTACAGCGTCAGGCACACGAACGACAGCGATGATGACGCCTTCGAGCAAGGCATGGCTGAGGAGCTGGGCTGCGAGGTGCATCTGATCGACCTGACGGGCCGGCGCGGTCCCACCAGCCACGTGCAGCTGGGTGACGGCTCTGTGACCTACCACCGTCTGTCGTCCGGCCGCCAGTATCAGCGACTCCCCGAGCTGGTGACGCGTCTGGGGCATACCGAGCGGCTCATACATCACCTGCGAGTGACGGCCGACTTCTCGGCGCACGCCGCCTCCCGTCTGCCGGCCGCGCTGCGCTCCCTCACGGACTCGGACCCTGACGAGCTGGAGCTGCTGGCCGGCCAGGTGATGCAGCTACAGCTAGCGCTGACGCTGCGGCCGGCCTCGCTGAGCCAGCCCGCGCTGGAGGCGTACCGCCGCGCCTGGCAGCTGCTCGCAGACCTGCACCGGCGCGGCTTCAGCGTGCTGGAGAGCCGCAACTCCGGCCGCGTGGTGTGGCTGCCCGGGCTGGGCAGACAGGTGGCCGCCAGCTATAACCTGCTGCTGGCCAAACATATGCCGCTGGCGGCACGCCGCTCGGCGCTGCTCAACCGGAGCGCTAATGAGTCGGCTCGGTCTCCGCAACAGGTGCACATGTTCGCTCCGTGACCGACCCCGGCGGCCGATCAACTGCACTTCTCGACACTCAGTTCTGACTGGTGCTATTCTGTAATATAACTATTGCCTCCTCCATTTTTGCAAGCTTGCTGTATATGAAAAAATGAATGTGTTGTATGTAGCAACAGGTTTTTAATGCAAATGCTAGCTTTTTAATAACTTATTGATAAAAATTGTCATAGACCTCTGCTCGCCGCAAGCAGGCTCAAACCGCAGAGGACGGTCTAGCTCGACAGCTACTGGATCGCGAACCTTTGGACAGACAGGAGAGTCGAGAGGAGAGAGACGTTAAAATGGTAAGTTGACTTCACTTATTTATTGTTGTTTTTGTATTTTAGTGACACAAGATATTCACTTTTCATCCGCAAGTTGACAATGAACAAACGGTAAACAAAACAGATTATCGCAGAAAAGTTCAGCATCCAATGTCAGATCTAACGCAAGCTGTTTCGTGTCGGTAAAACCACTAAGTTCCACTGATTACTGCTGTCTGATCCGGCTAATTTTCATCGCACTGGGGGTATAGGACGGGGCTTATTCAGCATGCACGGAAGCCGAAATACCTAAGGAATGTAACCACCACTGCTCTGAGGGTCCAGCCGCACTGATATTACAGCAAGCATGTTTAGTGAGCGTCATCAATTATCATACCGCGATTGATTGCAATGTAAACGTATCTAAAACGTATAAGAATTTGTATGCGCTTTACTTTGCCGGTAAAGGTATCGCATTTTTAATCTCAAACGTATGTTTTGCTTAAATAGTAAACAATCCATGACTGGTCTAGCTCATCTCATCCTTGGAGTCTGAAGAGGTCCGTGAACTGCGACAGAATGTGCAGAGGCGCGTTCAAGGTCAGGCTGTGGGTGTCACTCGTTAAACGCACTGTAACGTCTTCAGATGGCGCCCGCTCACGGGCGTTTATAACCAGGAAGACGGCCACCTCTCAGCCCCTTCCACCCACACCAGGTACTGTGGAACCCTCTCATTCCGCACCGCTTGAGCCGCCTCTGCTGATGGCGCTGCGAAGGCTTGGCTGTGACCTCCACGGGCTCGAGCCCCCGCCTCCGCCGCCGCCTCCGCCGCCGCCGCTGCTTTTGCTTTCACCTGGCGGTGGCGGCGGCGGCGGCGGCGGCTCGACAAGGCCTCAGTCGGAGCTAGGATGGCGTAGCGCGGGCTCGTGTCGCCTCCTCCAACTCGTGTGATATCTCACAGCCGTGCGGCCGCTGGTGACACGTGCAGCTCACCCAGCACGTGCAGCTGACTCGTGCCAAGTGTGTTCGCGCGGCACACTCCGACCGTCCCGAGATCCCGACCGACCGCGCGCCCGACCGTCCACCCAGCCATGAGGACTCGACTGGACACATGCCTGCTGGTAAGGAATCCGCGGTGCCCTGGCGCTAACGCGATGGTTTCTTGGACTGTACGATAGCATCTCCGTGTCTGACCCGTCTCGCTGTGACCTCCGAGAGCCGCACAGCCGTGATATAATTCCCAACATGTGTATCGTCGACACGTCTTCCCTTGCGGCGCTATTGCGCCACGGGGGTAGCGGCGGGTGGCGTAAGAGGCTGACACGACGCGTGCCGGTCGTCGCTCATAACGCGTGCCGAGTCGCTCAGAGTCACCGCTCCGACGTGATGCGATGCCGGCGCGCTGTGGTGTTGTTTGCCGCGCCTGGGCTGTGGCGTGGGAGGGGATTTTTCGCACGGCTGACGACCGGGCGGACGGGCCGCATCCTGCAGCGGAGGCGGCGGAGCGGAGGCCGTACCAGTCGCCGCCCTGGCAGCCTTGGGGTCGCCAAGCGGCCCGCCCACGGCCCCGGCTGGCGCGCCGGACCCCGAGCCACCGACAGGGGACTGCGAACGGGCCCGACGGAGCTCGGGCCCGCTGGTCACACCTGGCTTATACGACCGCGGGGAATAGGGGTGAGATCGACGAACATGACTGAATGTCTAGGCTAGAATTATACGACATATATGGAGAACGCTGGATGAAGCAAAATACTGCAACACGAAACATGACAGCATTGTCAGAAACAATCCAAAATTACGTAGCATTTTGTTTGATTCATTTCCCTACCTGGCTCAGACTCAACATTAGGTGAGGCGTGAGGGTTCAGTGTTTAATGGGGTGTAGCAAACAGCAGTGACAACAGTCTCTATGGAAAAATGCAGTTACAGATGCATCAAGCGCATCAGCCAATGTGTTTCGATTTATTGTGTTTACTGTTTAACAATAAGCTGGTATAAAAGTCTGGTTGGTGTACAACGCCACACTCACTTCACAGCTTGATTGCCAAGCACGTATTTTTTTTCTGAATAATCTGTGTGATATTGCGTTTATACTAATGCAAAATTACCTACAGTTACATCTGTTTAATATTTTATATTACAGTGACACCGTATAGGTAGGTTAAAAGTGAATCTGTGGGTACAACTTGAACTTGGCGTTTCCTGATCTTTTCAATACTGTCCCAGTGCTCCGATTCAGTATTGAGCCAACGGAGTTCCGAGCTAGATATATTTGCGAAATTGCAATTGACTTGATGTTAGCCATTTTCACGACGGGCAATCTGGCGAATGCACCTCACTTGACCAAATCTGCATCAAATCTCTTTGTCAACAAATATCTTGATATCATGAACTTATTTCGGTGTTATAATAAGAAACAATTTGAGAAATCGGGTACATAAGCAATTGTGCAACCCAAACTGATAACTGCTAAGAAACATAGTGAAGCTAATTTGACCAAATCTACACCAAATATGCACCAAATGTGAACCAAATGTTTATCAGATTCGCGTAAACGGCTACTATGCACATCTTAGAATATCATTTTGAGAACACTTTTGCAAACATATCAGGAAAACGCTTGGCAATAATCAAGCAATCATTTTGATATATTCTTCGTGCTTTAATTAAGCATTTCGATACGGTTACACCTTCTAGGGTTTTGGTTCACTGCTAGCCGTCTTCCAAACACAGTTTACTTGAACTTGTGGAGGCATAATTTGTAACTCAACTAGCTATGCGGTTTGCAAGTTTTCTAACCTAGAGCAGCCGTATAAGTCATGACAAGGAACCGTCACGATATGACTTGGCAGCTGTTTTTGTCTTGCGTAGGTGGGGAACAAAAACTCACAACAAAACACTTCTTACGTAAAATTACACAAAACATTGCAAGAAGCTATGCTCGTTGTCGGTCAAGCTTGAAGTTCTTTCTTGCAGTAAAAAGTGTCTCTGTCCCGGGGAGCATAACCGAAGTGTCATAATTTCTCGCGCTTGCTATGTGCTGGGGCGAACTTTATATTAACCCGCGCCGTGCTGGTGGCCTGAACTTTCCGCCGAGTGCTGGGGGGGGGGGGGGGGCGTTTTCACGCCCCCCCGTCTAACTCGGCTCCTGGGCCACGTAGCGACACGCGGTAAGCGGCAATCGAAAGAGCGTCAAAAATAAAGACGAAAACACTTCGGTCATTTTTTGGGTCAGGTCAAAGGTCAGGTCACCAGAGGTCACCAAAGGTAAAATGTTGACTATTTCAACATTTTGGAAACTGCCAACGGCTATCTCGGGAACCGATAGAGCTACAGCGCCGCGGAAAAGCGCATTCGATAGCCCTTTTACAGACCTTTCTGAGTGATGTTCTCAGATTTGACCTCAGGTCAACGGTTTAGCCTCCAGAGGGCAAAAACTCCAAAAATAGCCGTTTTTACGAAAAACGTTTTTTCGTCAATAACTTTTGACTCATAAGCGCCATGACATTACTTTTGCCAGCATCGTGTTCCTCTCGTCGAGACGCGTCGAATGAACTATTCGTTGACCTTGAAAGGTCATTTTGAAAATTTGACCTCAGGTCAAGGTCATGACCTAACCGAAAAGGGTCATGTTGCATATCAGTCGATCCGTATCGTCGAGCTGAACACATCTGACGTGTTTTCACCGCTCTAGCACGTCTCTATCAAAAGTTATAGCCAAAAAACTGCTGGCGACCGTTCATGACCTGAGATGACCTCAGGGGCACACAGAGGGGTCACAGGTGCATTTTTCCTATTCAGTGTGTCATGTTTACCTACGAACCGATGTTTGAGAGCGTTTTGAACGATATTCGTCCAAAAGAGGCGCATTTCAATTTTCTCCCATTGACTTATAATGGAGAGGTCGCAAAATTGACCTGACCTTAGGTCACAGATATCAAAAATCCGAGATATACATTTTATACATACTGTTACTCATATCAATCGCTGAAAGTTTCAAAGTGATCGTTCAGTCGGTGTAGCTATAGCGAGCCTTTGAACTTTTTCTGAGGTAAGGTCACTTGACGTGACCTGGTGACCTGACCTTGAACGGCCTAGGTCTGAAATTTTCACAACATGTGCGGAAATGATGTAGGAACACGTGTACCAAAAACGGCGATTCGCGAAAAACCTGAGGGGGGGGGGCGTAAAAACGCCCCCCCCCCCCCCAGCACGGCGCGGGTTAACACCCCGGTGACAAATTTCAAAATCATTTGCAAATCAATCGATGATATTTCCTGAGGAGCGTCTCATTCTCCACAGCTCTGTCCCTAACGGTGTCACTCCAAGGCTGCGAGCGATGACTGCGCTCCTACCAACAAACCGGTTTCCATGCAGGCATATCGCACCAAATGCGGTCATTTGGCAGTTTTATAACACGACGGCGCATTTTTCCAGCTTCCTTAAGCCGCCGTCTAGCAGGAAACTGATGGCGCGGCCACCCCGTTTGGGTCTGTTGGCGGCGTTTTTGTCGGGTCGTCTCCGGTTATCGCGGCTGACTCCCACACACAGCTCCAGTCACGGCGCTGGAACTGCCGGCCTTGGAGGGCCCATGGCTCTGACAGGGTGCTGCTAGGTGTGGCCAGGGTTAGAGGTGGGCGGACGGGACTGACGAGATCTCGTTGCTCGAGGGCATCGCGAGAATGAGGAGGATGGTAGAGCCAGGCACAGCGTGGTAGAGGGCTATCAGGAGTGGTCACAGGCTTATACGGTGTCAATTTATCGACATGGTATCAGGTGAAGACAGAAGGGAATCAAACAAAGTCAGTGGTGTGTCATCCAAGTATGCTTAAGTGATTAATCAATTGCGGTAGTACGTCAAAACTTCCATTTATCATGTAAGATCACTAGCAATGCAAGCATTGCCAGTGCATTCAAGAACTACCAATAAAAATGCGATCATTGTTTCACTTCTGCACATTCTCTTCGATGGTGGTCTTTAGGTCTATGTTGTGAAATCATTCGGCAATGAGGGACGTTTTTAGTCTTATGACGTCACTTATCAGCCGACCACTAGTCATTCCCGCTAACGAGTGACGTCCAGCCCGTCCCGCCACGGCATCTTGTGGTGATGCTTTGTTGACCGCTCCCTCTCCCGCCCCCGCAGCGTTCTTTCCATGCATTGATCACTGGTCATTCCTGTAGCCTTTTTACAAGTCATCGAACGTGTCTCATTCGGTGGCTTCCTAACACTCTGGCAGAACAGCTGCGTTTGCCGTTTTCTAGAAAACTTGGGCCGTAGGCCGATAATAACTCAATCATCCTTTCTTGCCACTGTGAAAGGTCAATTATTCTGCATTCCACAACATCTGTTAATTATTATCTCTGATTCTGATTGACCCGCGTTTTTTTATCGGTACTCAATCAATCTTCTCCCCCATATAGATCGCATAACCCTGAGTGATTGCTCCTGGCTGACTGATTTACGCTCCCTCAGCTGACTCAGTAGTACCTATGTCATGTCCAAACTATGTCACCAGTGACCAGACGAGTGTAAGGTAGCAGCTGTCTCACACCGCTAGCGGACCGTTGTGTGCAGGGTGCACGACTATGTATGAACAGCCGCTGACCCCGACTGGGGGGGGGGGGGGGGGTCGTCAGTCCGGCCGGTCGCTGGCCGGGGCCGATGGCCGAGCGACAGCTGATGGCTGGTGATTGGTGACCTCACCACAGGAGGGACAACATCGGCACGTTGTCTGATCTCGTCCCAGTTCGATGACGTGATAAACTACCTGAATTGGGAAAAATGCTGCTATCTGTTCGAAAGATCAATGATCCTGCTTATGACTATTTAAAATTACATCAATTACCGTTGATCATCGAGACAAATAGATATAGACATTTGCTCGCCCAATGAATAGCGACATGAGGAACCCGAAACTTGCCTTTCCGCCTACCGCATTATAACATGACGCCAGTATGATGTCAAGCCACTCGATTCCAGCGCACTTCCTTATAAGGCCGTGTGAATGTCCTGCCGTTGGGAGGCGCTGGCCGGACAATGGACGGCGGACACGGGGCAGTGACCGGTTTGGGGAGGACCTCATCGCACGCGAGGGATGGGACGACGTCGGAACGTCTTGTCGCGCGGTATGGGTGGGGTGCTGGGGCGTTGTCCGCGCCGTGTCTCGTGCAGTAGAGTTGTATAAAGTGATGGATTCTTGGTCCCCAGCGCAATGGTGCAGGTGGGGTTAAAATGACCGGATGAATTAAACGAGACATCTGTCGGAATTAAAATGAGCTCAAGCCTCAGGGCGATCAGTTTCAAGGACCAATGTCAAAAGGTACTGATGGAGATTGGCTTTACATAGGTTGGTGAGTGACTATGAGAAGGACAGATGTCGCACCCAAACAAGTGGCATTGAATGATGCTGCAAAAGTGCACATGTCAATCCAATCCATGCACACAAAAGCTACGTGACCGCTGAATCAAAGGCATGCCAGCTGTGCCCTGGAGTTCATTTCCAGCTGTTTGATTATTCCTTTAAATAACCACCAGCACCATCTTCAGTGTCACTGCACCAGAGATTTTGTGTGGCAGACGCCGTCAAACAAGCGGCCAAGGCCTGATGCTATCGCAGAGAGACGAGAACCCCGTCTTGCTGACCTTGGAGATACGAACAGAGCTCGGGCAGATCGCGACGATTGATAGTGTGACAGAAAATCACGTCAGGACATCGGTCCGAAACGCTGTTTGACAAACGGCTGGCGCTTACATAGAAGGATAGGAAAGGGAAATAATTCAGTCTGTCGCAAGAGAAACCAGTCTCGAGTGCTTTTCGCATATAGTGATTGATGATGACAAATGGGTAGCTATCGTTTCACACGAAACACATGTAATTCTGTCGTACTCAGCAGTGTTCCCTGGATGTGATTGACGTTATGGTAAGCTAACAGTTGTTCTTTTTCTCAGGTGCTGGCCGCGGCAAGCCTCACAACAGCTCTGAAACGTGAGTGATTTCGTGCCTTCTAATATTAGTGATAGCCTAATCTTACTACGCTCCTGCTTACGTTCCTATCACCTTCCTCGCTGGATCCGAAACGGGCTGCACACATTTTTTTTTTTTACTGCGCTGTGCGTAGAAAATAATTTGCATACCTATGTCGTTATAATGGTGTTTGGTGAATAGAAATCGAAACAATAAAGAGACGCTTTTGATGATTCTTTAGTGTCTGGGTGATAAAAATCTGTGCCGTACATAATACCGTGACGACAATGCCATTGTTACAAGGATGGATAACAATATCTGTGCTCCGCTTTGATAATGTGGCATTAATTTGTGCATTATAAAGATGTTCTCTCCACGCCCAGTCACACATATGTTGTTATCGCAGCATTTAAGATTGTTTCAATCACCTATGCAATCAACTTTTATGAAATATTGTGATTTATGATGTCGCAAAACAGAGACGAATCGTGACGTTTCGGTCAAGTCGTTGGGTGCCACCCTCCGGGATGAAGGATACCAGTAACCGCTAGCCCTCGGAGTTGAAAATGATTGTTTTAGAGTATTAGCTCACTTTGTTTAGCCATTACATGGCAGCGCAATAGTCTTTCGGACCGCTTAAACCTAACCCTCGCCGGCACAGGCCATTTTGCGTCCTTCGACGGCACAAGGGGGGGGGGGGTTGGTACGACCCCCCCTCGCGTTTGGCCCCTGATCGAGCTAGAGCTTCGCGGAAAAAACGAGCGTGTTGCCCGTCACGAAAGGAAGCCGATGATAGCCAATTTTATGGTCCTAGGTCATCGGGTGACCTTCCAGGTCAGGTCAATGACCCGAAAACCGGGAAAATCGGGACTTGTTAGAAAGTCGTAAAGTGTTGCTGTTATGTGGTTTTCCGGGGTGCTGATCACGAATATCGTGTTAGTTTTGATCAGAGATGATGTCTTGAAGCATTTAGACCAGGTCGGGTCAGATCGGGTCACGTCAACCGGTAGGGGTTGTGACGGGTATTCGTAATACGTGTCAACCGCCTCTGACAGCTTCGTAACATGTTACGAAGGCACCAAAACTACTTCTTATGTGTTCAAATGGTTGCTAAATTCGAATTCAGCTCCAAAAACTAGCCTAGAAACATGTAAAACTCGAAAAAGTGAACCGAGGTCACCCGAGGTCACCAAAGGTCAATGACCTGACCTGACCTTCAGGTGACCTTGACACCCGCCCTAGTGTATGGGAGCAGGGGTGTCGATTTTTCCAAAATGGTTGGGGGTGCTCAACCCCTGCACCGGGTGAAAGATTGCAGCTTTGACATGGGGCACAACCGTACAAGGCGGGGTTGGGTATCCCTATATGGTATTGATAATCCCGGGATTTTCACTAATATTTCCCAAGGGTAGAACGCTCTTCTTGGAAATCATTCTATTTCTGCTCGTCCTAGTTCTTGGCTACCTTATTGCATAAACATCTTTCCGAAAAAAAGTGGTATATGTATTTGCCGGCAGCTCGGCAACAGCCCCGACACCTCTGTAATAAGGTGACAGAAACCGATGACCGCGATTAGCACCGGTGCAGCAGCCCCTGAGGCCCGCAGGGGCGGACATTGCGTGGAGGCTGACGGCCACCCACCGGTGACATTTGAAGGCCCTACACCGGCGACTCTGAGGGCCCATCGGCGTCTGAGTCCGTGCCGGTCTCTAAAGACGACCCCACAGGGTTTCTGAAGGTAACCACCGGCCTCTGATGGCCCTTTGCCGGCCTCTGGCTCTGAGGGCCCGTCGCCGGTCTCTGGAGCCCCCTGCCGGCTTGGCAGCTCTAAGGGTCTGAGTCCGACACCCGTGTACGACGGACCCACACCAGTGTCTGTGCATCTTAACGTCTTTTTTCGCCCTTCTTCTTAAGGCATTTCTTTTCTTTACATCTTTATTTCATGTATTGTAAATTGCGTAATTGTTTTATTTTTAGTATTGAAAGACTGCGGAACCAATTATTTTCCTCAAGCATAGTTCGTTAGTGGGAGTGGAACAAAATCATTGGGGGTGCTAACTGGAACATTTGGGGGTGCCCGGAAAACCATTGGGGGTGCTCATTTGAGCATTGGGGGTGCTGCAGCACCCCCAAAGGTATACAAATCGACACCCATGTATGGGAGTAACATCAAATCACATGTTTGAACGTTTGAAACCACGAAAAGCTTGCAAACGCGCGGCTAATGCGAGCCGACATACGCCGAATCGCGATTACGGCCAAACATGGTCTCGGAAAAGAGGTCACAGGTCAAAGGTCATTTGGGTCAGGGTCATGAAATTTTCAGGGAAGGTGTAAAATTGATCAATGCGAGAGTACTGAAAGTTTCGTTGCGATCGGCCGCTTTTTACGCGAGTTATTCGCGAAAAACCTTAGGGGGGGGGGGGTGTCATCAACCCTTCCCCCCTGTGCCGGCGAGGGTTAAGACAGACTACCGAATGGAGGTCTATAACAATTGATAAACCGATCTAACAATACTCTAACTTCGTTCGTTCGGTAGTCGTACGCAAAACTCTAACTGTAACACCACTATTGAGATTTTCTTGCAAGCATGCCAAGCACCGTCTAACGTTCCTCTATTATCCAACCTTGCAGCGCCTCTCAAAGTGAGAAGTCCGGTGGAGGACATCCGCATCGAGTGCAGCAGCAACGACATCGAGGTCTCCATCTTCACCAACCAGGAGTTCAACGGCATGGTGTATCCGAAGGGACTGGCCAAGAACTCGACCTGTATGACCGAGTACACGGGCCAGGGCTCGCCAGTGCGCTACCGGCTCTCTCTGCGCAGCTGCAACACCATGGGCGTCCAACAGGTGGGTTCAACTGGGACAGGAGGGTGCTGGAGAGAGGGAGAGAGAGAGAGAGAGAGAGAGAGAGAGAGAGAGAGAGAGAGAGAGAGAGAGAGAGAGAGAGAGAGAGAGAGAGAGAGAGAGAGAGCACAGAGCAGATATCCTCACCAGTCACCATGGTGTTTTCTCCGTCTAAGGCTCAGTCCTTTCCGCCAACCTCGTCCTCAGACTCCTGTTCTAAACGTCTTTCAGGCAGGAATGCAGGCGCCACAGCGATCTCTAAGCTCACCTACGCCCTACGGCTTCCCTAGGCTCCCCTATGATCCAATGGTCTTCCCTAGGCTTCCCTAGGCTCTCCGCGGCTCCTCTATGGCACGGGTTACAGGCTGTGTCTGTTATGAACGAAGTATGTACGGACGGCAGCTCACAGCTGCCAAGGTCAACGGAGTGACACTCGCGTGTGGTGTATTTGGGTCGAGTGGCCGTGATGAGGGTAATTTGGGGTGTGACCAGCAGAGTGTGAGAATTCCAAGGTAATTATACGTGGTGGTTGTTAGAGGCTAGCGGATAGAGCACTGAACCTTGGAGGATGGCGGATTCGTAACGGGTCGGGAATTACACCGATAAAATATGCGCATAAGGACATGACAGAGGTGTTGATGATTCATGAGCGGCTTGGAGAGGCTTTAAGTGTCGACGACATTATCCATTTAAGGTCTTCTTTGGGTTTGTAAAAGGACAGACTTTGGAGGAATAAGTACGGCTAAGCGGGTGTACCTATTTGTCAGCTGACCAGCTCATACCCAATGGAGGCTTTTCTCGGTATCTTAGCGTGAACCAAAGATCATCGACCTTCATATAAGCATATGTAGAAATCACGTATGATTAGCTTAGCGACGTTCGTTGGTATTGATCCGATTAGTGGTTATCTCATGAATATTGCCCACTGCCCGTATATCCTCTCGATGTTCTCCTCCGCACCGTTGTTGCCATGCGCTCCAAAGACAAAGAGAGGGAAATTGTTCGAACGCTGATCGGTTCCAAAAGCAGTTGACTCCTTAAAAAGTCTTCACTTTTGCTGAACTAGAGTCACTGCGTGCTTGGGTCTCACTCAGCTCAATGTAACCAAATCACAGCAATAAACTTATAATAAAACCTCGACTCAGACGATCCAGTTCCCACTCATATCGCTCCTCCAGCCTGCCGGCCACAGGACCGCGCCACGCCGGCTGGCTTTCGCTCTCGCTGGTCCCGGCGGAAGGCGTCGCGTCATAAGCGTTCGCCCTCGTCGACATCGCGCCACTCCTCGCCACTTTCACGTGCACAGTAGGCGTGAGCCCCGCCCGGCGCTCCCATAGAGAGCGAGAGTGAGCGAGATTCGACCGGCCCGGCGCCGCGGGAGCGATGGGAAATACAGCGGATTAGTTGGGTTTATGGAGATTTGTGTGATTAACGTGGGAATTTTGAGATTGTGTAAAATTAAAAAAGACATCCTAAGTCCTAACATACGAGTATACATATAAGACAATGAGGCCTACATAAGTGTATTTCAAGTCCGTGTTTATGTTTCCTTGGGTGCATAAATATACTCAGTTCAATATAGTCATTTTCATGGGTATGTGACTCTGACTTACAATATTGTCATACCATTTCGCTTTATTTGATCTATATCTTTCTTGCAACTGCTAATCTTGCGCTATATCACTATTACCAGTCGAAACTTCGACACTCGTCCCACCTGGATATGACTTTAACCAAAGCGAATTGCACTTCCTATCATATCCATAACGTCCCCGACCCCGCAGGGAAAGTTTCCGGTCGCTCACGACTCACGGCCGTGACAAAATCGTTCGCTCTATCGGGCCACGTCGTGTGCCGGGCGGTCGGGATAACCGTGAGAGAAGAGGTGACAGCCTGGGTTCGTAGCCGTGCCCGGGTGAAATGGGGTGGATCGACCTCCCCAGCTTTCCAGGCACGGTGGTCCACAATGTCTCGGCCCACGGTCTCACAGCGCTCTCCCACACCGGGTTTTGGCGAAGTTTTTCTGCGGCTGGTTTCACCTCATCAGTGACGTCATAACGCTTTGGTCACGACTCATCAGACCCTGCCCGAAGGGGACTGTGGGACGCACGAGCGCCCTGGGGAGTCCGAGTCCGAGTCACGCAAGCCGGAGTCACGTTTGGGAAGCTACGTGACTCGGTAACTCTAAAATGGTCGCAGACTGCTCGCGATTAGATAATTTCGCTTGGGAACAGCTTAAAATGGTTGGGAAAATTTCTTGGGACATGTGCTGGGAGTACAAGTCAGTACTGAACAGAAAAGATGACGTGTATGCGTAGCTATGGTTTACTATTTTATATGCGAAGGTTGGCATGAGTGAAAAATCGACTAAAAACTCACCCGCTGTTCTACTCTGCCTCTCAAAATCGAGCACATACCTATCAGTGTGTTACTTTTACTAAGCAATAAACATACAGATCAAAAGACTAAGGTCAATTACCACACTTGGGACGGTTGCCAATAGACGTGCAACGACCGGCGATAGTATTGGCAGACGGTAGCTACCCTTCTGTGTAATGTAAGTGCCTTATTTTAGCCCTACATACATACATGAGTTTTAGCTGGGGGTGGACACGGTTCATAACACTTAAGTTAAATGGGGGGTCAACTGGTGTCTTGACAATTTTCAGACTCAATTACCACGTTCACCGTAAAGCTCACTGTACCTTAATGTTCGGGGAGGTTATCATGGGCGCTTGACATGCAATCATTATCTATTTGCACTATATCGTCAGTCGTGACTTGTCGGGTGTTATAACGCGAGGCAATTGTGAGCTTGCTCTGGCCGTTTCGTGTTTTAAATTACATCAACTTGCACTCACACTCTCTTACAGTTTTCGTATTGTTTATATGATAAGGATGAAAACTTATTTGTATAGCTCCTTAGCTGTAATTAACAGGTACGAATCTGCCAAGTATCAATAAATATCATGAGAAAGGACGGTTCTAGCAGAAAGCCTGTAAATGACGATTATGAAAAATATTCATATGTCTAGTGACTCGCCAGATCCGGCTTGTTTAATTATCGGCAGTTTTTATCCAGTTTTAATGGCTATTAGCTGGTGCCAGTTATTTTACCTATAAAAGTCTCCCACTCCCAGCAGTTATCTATCATGGCACTGATCCAGATCCTTGCAACAGTCCCGACTTGTTCACCAGTGGCCCGTTAGTTCCCCATGCCCTATCTGTGTTCGGTACGGGGGCTGTTCGGTTATGAGTGGGCCCGCGGGGCCAGCAATGCAACTTTCACTGTCGCCACTGCCGCCGCCGCTGCCTCCACGACTCCCGTGTGGGGGCTAGACGGCCACTCAGCTGGGCGGGGCGGGGGCGGGGGCGGGGGCGGCTCGACCCTGGCCCATGGGGAGAGATATCGGTCTCATGTCGTACAGGGGTGCGCGGGTGGAGCTGAAGGATGATAAAGGGGTGGATAGGGGAGGGGTGGCTGGGTGTCTAACAAATCGCCCTATCTCTTTTTCTAAAGACTGAAATGTTAATCGGTGATTATATCCACTGCATTTATATTATGCAGTGACGACGCATAATATAAATATACCGTTTAGCCTATGATGGATTGGCCATAATAGTCAAACCACTAACAAAAACTATGTAGCCCTTATAGCTTCGCGTTCAGCTCAGTCACGACGTTGACATGTATCTACGCCCGTATAAACCGTGACCACTGTTCGCCGTGCGCTCTGAACACGTATACCGGGAACAGGCGCAGTCTGTTCCGTGACATAGTTAACCGACAACATCTACAGAATCGTGACGGTCCGGCGGCGTCACACGGTCCGTTACCTGTCCGTGGCACATCGCTGCCGCGCCTTTGTCAGCCGGTTCGCTGCAATATGTTGCATAAGTGGCGTCTCGACGCATCCCGACATTCAATATCATGCAATCGTTTTCAGCATCGGTGCGCTAAAAGAAATGCCGACAAAACGTACACGAGTTGTGTCAGTTCATTTTATAAATAGTGTCTATTGTTCTTTCACGAAAATGGTTGATGTGTTCAGTCCTTGAGACGGTATAGAATTGTCGTTTGTCTAATGATGACAGTTAACCTGTCACCTACCTGCTGTCATCTATGCTGCAGCCAGTGCCGAACCGTCATCTAACCTCAACTGCTCGTGTTTTTAGGAGGACGACACGATCGAATACTTCAACACAATCGTGGTGCAGCCACACAGGAAGCTGGTCACCAACCAGGGACGCGGCTTCCACGTACGGTGTAAATACCAGACCCGGGACAAGGCGGACATCGAAACCAAGCGGTGAGTCTCGGGATCATCGGGATCATTGGGCTCTCGGGATCATCGGGGAAATTGAGTCCTTGGCGTCAATGTGTGCTTATATTTTGTGGTATCTAAAGTAGATTTGACGTCCGTAGTTTTCTTTCAGTCATTCTGTGGCCGTCCTTCCTCATGCGGTTTTCTTGCTTCAGCATTGTCTCATTTTTGTGACGTAATTATTTTCTAAGAATGATAATTCATCTATGGATTCATCATGCATGTCATTCAATAGCTCACGTGAGCAGTTATCACAGCTGAATATCAATCTGCGTCAGCCTCATGACTTCTTGTGGGAGGCACTTCCACGTCTCCCCATCGGCCAATGGTCAGTGAGGGCTTTCCACCTCTCCACACTCCCTGTGGACTTTCCACCACCACCCTGCAGACGACCTCGAGTGCTCCACTGACCCGAGAATTGCTGCCAAGTCACCGCCGTGCATCTCAAACACAACCACTGCCCGCAGGCTCAACCCGTGGCGGACGGACCCTGTTCCGAATTTAGTGGCATTGATTTAATGGTAACCAGTCACGGACCGGCGGCTCTTGGCAGTTTGTCAATTATGCAAGCGAATTACGAATAGAGTGGGCACTCGTTTGTCTTGTTTGACGGCTAGTGTTAGGCTTGCGACAATTGCGGTGCCTTCCAGCTGAAAGTACAGTTTGCAGCTCATGTCGTCGTCAAATAGCAGCTGTCTGGAGCTTGGTACTCTTTCGTGCAGTGGCAAGAGACTGTTGAGCTGTCTCGCCAATATCATGCACACAGAAAAATATTAACACCGTTAGCGGTGTAATTGCACAGTACATATCTGAGCACTTGAGGAAAGTTAATTTAGTCCCTTCCCCGCTTAAATTACTCGCGCTTCTAAATGAACACCAGGAAGAAGGTAATAGAACACTGTGGGTTGGGTGTTTTGCTACATGTAGTAAAACACCCAACCCTCCTAACAGTGTTCTATTACCTTCTTCCTGGTGTTCATTTAGAAGCGCGAGTAATTTAAGCGGGGAAGGGACTAAATTAACTTTCCTCAAGTGCTCAGATATGTACTGTGCAATTACACCGCTAACGGTGTCAATATTTTCTGTGTGTGTCTCCTCATTCACGACAGAGGAATGGGGACGAGTGTGCAAGCTGCACAACCGAAATGAGGAAAAGCAAAAAAGAGAGAAAAAGAAAGACAGAAAAAGAGGGAGAAAAACAGAGAGGGAGAGGGATGAAGGGAGTGATAAAGGGAGAGAGAGAAACGAAGAAAGAGAGAGAGAGAGAGAGAGAGAGAGAGAGAGAGAGAGAGAGAGAGAGAGAGAGAGAGAGAGAGAGAGAGAGAGAGAGAGAGAGAGAGAGAGAGAGAGAGAGAGAGAGAGAGAGAGAGAGAGAGAGAGAGAGAGAGAGAAGCTGGGAACGAACCTGCCCTGCCCGATCGGGAGCACCGTTGCGCCACTGGCCCTGTCGGTGCGAGGGGCGCGTCCCTGCCCACTCCCAAGTCCCAGGGCCGTCTCGGTGCTGTGGTGCTCTGCTGTGCCCCAGTTCGGACACCTGACGGCTAGGGAGAGGCTGCGGTGGCCGGCCTGGACCACGCCTCCGACAGATGGGAGCGAGACAAACAGCCGAGGGCTGATTATGAAACGTCCACTGAATGGGTAAAATGCCGAGGGCAGTTCCAAACAAACGTACAAACACGAATGACACGTGAGAAATGAACAGACACCTTGACACAGAAAATGCTTCTGTTGTGAAGAGCTTCGTTTACGGTTTACCATGGGCTCATAATTGAGTTTATGGGCAAACTAACGAGAAGCTATAAACCAAAGCCTTTGGTAACGACTGACGATCGGGCCTCCGGTCTGACGACTGCAGCTCGGTGAATTTAGCAATGAACCGGTCATTTGGCCGAACGCTAGGAGTGGCCGCTGGCTGCGACGGAGTGCCCAATTCGGTTTGGACTGCCGCGACACAGCTCCCAACACGGGCACGGTGGGGGCGGGGGCGGGGGCGGGGCGCCCAACGCTCGCGCTGATCCGGGTTCGCACACGCAATGGCGATGTCGTACTTCCAGCGGCCGTGGGCATAGCTGACGACGTTTGATCGCTGTAGTTCGCGGTACAGGGATCCCTTATGGTCTTCTGCGACTGACCGCAGGACCGATCTTCCCTGATCCCTCCGGAAGTTATTTCTGACGCCGTTGTACTGACATTGTATGTGAGGGAGGGTGTGGTTACGTTTTTGCAGTATTTAGCTTTGCCTGTCTGTCCGTCGCCGTCCTCTTCCGTCCCATCCGGCATCCCGTCTCGTCTACTTTTCGTCTCCCAATCCGTCTCGGTCTCATCTACCTCAATCTCGGGGAGTTCGGCAGCAGCGATCGGTGACTGACAGACCCGCACACGTCTGGGTGGAGCTGCCGACTGCTCCTCGTGTGGGTAGAGGGAAGGTCACAGCCATCCTATGACGTCATTTAGGGTGTCGCCTTCTGCACCTGTCTGAGACTGAGGAGTCGACTGGGATGGTTAGACCGCCCCACCTGAGCCCGAGGAATGCGTGACTGCTTGGCATTTCTCGACCATTGGGAATTTCATGACAGGGCTGCTAGTGAGAAGGGTAACATGATCGATTTCAAACAATGCTAAACTGAGAATCTAAAGGCAGAACCTGCATTCCTAGACACTTGCTGCTTGGAAACTGAACAAACACTATAATTACCTATTCTTTGAGGTTTGTGCTACCTGAACCGATCGCACTCCATTCCGTGCACAGACCTCAGACTGCCTCCGTGCACCCGGGTACGATATTATCACGCCTGCACTGGCGCTAAGTCGCACGGTCTATGCGAAACCTCCGTGGAACGCAGTTTTGCACCGCCACAGCGGCCGGTGTTCACATCATCGGCACCCGTTTCCGCAAAGAAAGCCACTTTTACGGCGTGATTAGCCGGTCCCGCGAGACGGGAGCCACCGGTTCGTGGTTTGAGCCGCGGAGAGCAACACCAGAGTTTGTGATCACAGACGGGTTTGATGCTGTTTTGATGGTGATTTGGATACTCTTTGGTGGATACGCCTTGTGTGATTGGTGTATAGTCGACTACAGAATGATGTTCCACTTTTCACAGGCAATTATTTGCCTCTAGTGGTAGGCTGTGCCGCATCACACGGGCTGAGTTTACAAATTATAGCTTTGTCCCAATGCTCACAATCGACACGCTTAATTGCGTGGTAAACGGCACAACTTAGCGCTCCGATCATCTGATAGCTTCTGAGGAGTGGAACATCATTCTGTAGTCGACTATACAATAATCCATATTTATTCTTGTCGGTTTTGTCGGTGGCCTCCGACCGCTTTGCTCGTGCAGCCATGCTTGTCGTGGTCGCTGGATAACACTGGCCATTAAAAACCTCCGGTAACGGTCTGGTGGGATGTCTTGATCCTGGCTATCTCGACAGAACGAGAGGTTTGACCAGTGCTATCAATTCCGGACCTTCGATACATTTGTAGAAAAATGCCATCATGACTCACTCACGTACTTCGATATACAGCAGCAAAAAGATATATAGTTTTCATTTGAGGCAAATGCTCCTCATGCTGACGATCCCGATGGTCCTAACAATTTACCAACCCTCATAATGACGTCATCCCCACGTTCTTTAATCCTTTTCCGACTCGTCGGCGGCCTCAGTTCGTGACGTCACTCTCCAGTGGCGGGTCCTGGACCGGCAGCCAGCCTCGGTCCGCCTCGGCCCGACGCGACGGGCCGCCCGCCGGCGCTCAAGGCTAGCTGGTGGGCCGGCGGGGGACCATCGCTGCTGCCGCCGCCGGCTCGCAGGCTGCACCTCAGACCGTTCCCTAGCCTTGCGAACGAGCTCCGCGCGGCCCCGCGACGGGCCGTGGGGCTCCCGGGAACTCACAGAGGCAGGCGAGCGAACATATGGTGTGCTGAGAACGCGTTTTGGGAGAGATTTTTGGTTTGAGAAGGGGTTTCGGTAGGCTCTTGTTGCTAGACTTTAGTAAACTGGCAGAAGTGTGTCCCTGGGGCTGCTCAATAATATTTTTCCATTTGTATTATGTAATGCAATTAACTCAACTGGTGTCAGCCGTTGAGCGTTGTAGTGTGTGGCGTCAGCATGTAAATTGTATGGGGTCTGCTAAAAGTCTTATGGATAGCAAACGACACGAGGCCGAATAAGCATTTCCACCTACGTGCTTGCTGCAATCATTCGCACTATGACTATGGCTCCTCGCGGTTCTTGCCTTCACGGAACAAACAGCTGCTCATTTGCATTAGCAAACAGACGTGCTGGGGCTGCCGGTCTCTCTCCCCACAGAGTGTGGCAGACTGCTGAGTATGCAGACTGCACCCTCCGTCTCTCTGTCTCTCCGCCTGGGCTGACCCCGGCTGTGACCTCTCCCCCTCAGCCTCGCGCCGCACCCCTCCCTCCCCCTCATCAGCCCTTGTGGCTGGCCGGCTCCGCATGGCTGAATGCTGAGATCATCCCTCTTCGAGACACCCCGGTGGGTTCCACCCGATGAGTGACTTCGGGAGGCAGCTAGCCTGGCTCGAGCTGCAGCCAACTCGGCCCCAGCGGCGCCAGTGAAAGGTTCCCTGACCTCCGACCCTGATCACAGAGACCTCGCTCGAGCCCCGAGGGCCGAGGTACCTCGCGTGCATATTTTCTGCGCACGCAGTGCAGCGCTGCTGGGGCACAATGAGACAGCGAATGTCATGCAGAGCGTGCATGGGATGAGGGGACAAAGGAAGCGGTTTGACTGGGGGATTCATGCTGCGATGGAAGTCATATCTCAGCTTGACGTTCGTGCCCATCGCAATGCTCGTCATGCGGGAAGAGACGTCTTAGTTAGGATTCAAGTGCTAGGCATAAATTGTATCTGACGGCCACCGTCAAAGTTATGAGCATATAACGCGGTTTCGCCATCACACTCCATTCTCCACTGATATCATAGGTGTGCGAAACTCCTACCCAAACAGGTCGGTTAGGCCAATCCAGGAACTCACTCTGCCGCGGATTTTACAGCGTAGCATCCGTGGAAATGCTGGCGCTCCACCCCTTTCCTCGTGCAGAAAACGATGCATCGCTCCCTCCCCGTCGGTTTTTAAGCGCCGACCGTTTATATAACTCACACTCAAACGCCAGAGTCTCGTCCACCCCATGTTCGCGCTGGGAAGGCCGGCTGAGCCTCCCACAGCGGACGTCGCCGGCGGCGCTGTCGGGAGCTCACGTGGCGCGGTGTCGCAACCGTCACCTGTGGACAAGGTCCCCGGCCGTTTCATCACTCCCGGTCATACATTCCGCGGCGCTGCGCCTACTGAGTGGGATGCGATTGCGTTCGTCACTTCACTGCCTCAGTCGCAAGTAAACGAGTTTGATAGTTTCAACAACGAAGACCATGAGCGGGCGCATGTCAAAGCTGTCCATTCTGCGACGTTTCACGATATAATAACCGAGAACGGTCTGGAGGAAGTGCAGCTAATCACCTCACCTCTTTCCGCCCAGACGTCAATCCGCGACCTTCCGTCTCGTTCCTGGGTTCCTCGTGCTGGCCGCTCCCTCCGTTTGACCTCAGGTGATCGGCTCCACAGCATGAGCACAGGCCGGCAGTGGGCACCGCCGCCGCAGCAGAGCCGCTGTCCCAGTTTTTAGCCGGTCAAGGTCTGGGCCAGGGGCGCTGGTGACTGAGCCGCGCCACAGCGAGACACGGGCCGGGGCGGCGCCTGGTGGAGGCTGGATGAGAGGGACATCGCAACCCTTCTGTTGGAGACTGGAGAGCCACCTGGTCTGCAGACAGAGGGAATAAACCTTTCTGCCCTATGATAGAGCGGCGGTTGAGGGCGGCTGGTCTGGGCAGAGGAAGACTAGCGCTGCGACTCTTGCGAGTCAACATATGTATTATGCTGGGTTATTGGTTGCCTGGCGCTGGACTGAACGAGAACGGCGCTGGTTGACGTGATCGCTCTGGTATAGTGACGTTGTCTGGACAACGGCTGCTAGTCACAGATCAGCGATGTGAGCTGTCATTTATGTCAAACTATAGATGCTAGTTGTTCGTCTTAGGAAACCATTTGACTGGTGGAGGCTTTGCACATTCAGCAATGGAACATACCTTCGTCGTACCATAAAGAACTTTGGTGAAGTGAGGTTCACTTTGGTGCACCTCAGTTCACCAAAGTACACTGGTCCAGTGAACAGACGTGGTCACGTTTTTACCGGGAGGTTTTCCCACGACTTCCCATACGGCATGTACCGGTTATCCACAGCAGCCAGTCCACGTTACGGTCTCACAATGCAGTGACCAGTCGTTACTCGTTATTAATGGCATTTTGTTCTTTTTGCACTCCCATTAATTAACGAAATGTCCCGGGCTCGGCAATGCTGCAGAAATGCTGGTGGCCCAGTTACCGCTACCAGCTGTGAGATGAACCGAGGGCATTGAGTCAATGACTGGTGACTGCAACATTGCACACATGGGCACTGAACATTAGACAATGGCATGCGGTAGTAACTGTGTATTACATTGTACTTTCGTACATATTGCATTGCATTATGTATGTGCTGTCCCTTTGTTCAGACAGCTATTTCATAAGCAGCCCGTGTCCCATTGTAATAGCGTTAATTACGTAAACGTTATACCCACTATCAAATCAATAAAGCGCCGTGCGGTGAAGTTCATGATGATCCTAACGAACCTTTTTGTCTACCATCACCGTGCATTCTTCAGATACCAACCTAGCTGTTATTTCACATATAGGTACTGAAAAGTGAAGAAGGCACGTATCCGCAAACTTCTTTCAAACATGGACTCGTATAGCTGGAGCCTACTTCCACACTTCTCCACTAAGGCGTCGCATGCACTATTTGCTTAGTATCATTCGCTGCACCAATGCAAGTAGGTGTGTGCCCATTCCTGCCTTTGTCCATGGCGAGTTGCCAGATGTTCCGCGAGTTGCCAGCTCAATAACGGTGCCAGTCTCCACATGTCCCCACCGCCCCTGCAGACGGCAGACCATCGCCTCCACCCAGCCTGGTCGGCGCGGCGCCTCCCTTAAACGGTCAGCCGAGGTCACTGCCCCGACCAGACCCTGCGACTATTGGTGATGACGTCAGACTGGTGTGACGTCACCCAGTGGTCTGCAGAGGCGACCCAGTGCAATGGAACCGCTCCCAGTGGTACTGCGGTATTCATGGGTTGTGTGCAGTGCAGTCGTGAGGTTATTGGCTGCGCCACATCCTGGTTTGGTGGCTTCTGTAAGCCTCCAGCGGCTCCATTTATTGGCGTTTTTAATTGCCTCCATTTTTTGTGGGTAAATTATGAAAACATTTATCTCCTTTTACAAAAGATTATATAGGAAACCTCAAAGTTCACTTAAATGTGGAATTCATTGCAAAAAAAAAAATGTGTCCTTTGTTAACGGAAATTATTTATTTCTCTACTTACTCGAGACAATCTGGACTTCTGGAATATTTTCCTCTCACCATAAACTGAACCGTTTTCAGCCTCAAATGAAATATACAAAGGTTCTTCCAGTACATACATACGAGTACCCGTACCTACATGTATGCGTTTCAGCATACATGTACATGTGTACCATACATGTGTGTATGTGTTTCAGCTTTCAGTTATACCGCTTCAACTTTAAAGAACTCATTAACACAGCACAAATGGTTTTCCATGCTCGAACTGCGTCTTTGCTGAAGGCATCCTCCTTTTCCTCGTAAATGCGCTGCGGTATAGGAGCCTCCAATATTAGATCATCATCGATATTATCGTAACGTTTTTAATGGCTCGAGAGAATAACCTCATGAACTCATTAAGTCCAATTATCGGATCGTTTAGCCATTACCTTCATTATGGCGCAATTTCTACAGCGGTTTTCTCTTTTTTCCCTCTCCCTCTCTCTCTCTCTCTCTTTCTCTCTCTCCTCTCTCTCTCTCTCTCTCTCTCTCTCTCTCTCTCTCTCTCTCTCTCTCTCTCTCTCTCCTTCTCACTTCTTATTTTTTAATTCTCCCTTGGCTCAATTTATTTGTCATTTCTCTATCATTATCCTTCATTCCTCGGCCCTTCTCCGCTCTATGGACACCCCTCTAGGCTCTAACCCCCTCTCTCTTTTCCACAGCCGGCCAGGCTCCACAGCTCTGGCGGCGGCGCCGACAGCAGCAGCGGCCATGCCCGTCTGCTCGATGCGGATCTACTCTGACGCTGCCGACAAGACGGTAGCCGGCACGGTTCACATTGGTGATAAACTTACCATGGAGATTGCCATTGACGAGCAGAAGGAGTACGGTCTGCGAGTGGTGGACTGTCTGGTTCGAGACGGCCTCGGCTGGGGGCAGCAGCAGCTCGTCAACTCAGAGGGGTGAGTTGGAGGGGGAAGTGAGTTGAAGGGGAAAAGAGGGCCAAAAAGGGCGAGAGGGGGTAGGTCAGGGGGTCGAAAATTGGAGTGTTAGATCGGAGGGAGAGTGATTTGTCGATGTTTTATATAAAAATCGGAATGAGAAGGGTTTTAAAATAACTAGTTTCGATATTCCTTACCCTTTCAACACCAATCGGATTTCTGCAGCACTCGCTCTTACTTTTCCGACTAAATGCAACTGAGTGAAGCGACAGTCGGCTTTATCTCCTTCATCATCTGCCTGCACCTATCCTAACCTTCCTAAACTACCGGTTCGTCCCCGCGTGTTCCCGCACCGCTCCCATTCATGTTCCTTTACCCAGCTGAATGGATCGATTTCACACATCCTATCCTCTGACTAGAATTAGCACCATGCTCGCCGAGCTAGAGTTCGATACTCAAACGCGGAAATTTCAGTCGCGAACTGCTGCAGTATTTACCTCGAGGAGGCGTCTTCCCGTCATATCGTAATGCGACTTGCCTTGGTGTCACTAGATTCGAAGCAGATATCCGATTAAATTGGGTTTATCGCTGCCTTGGGTTTCCTCCTGTAAGTGTCATTGATTGATTGTGACGCTATGAATGACGATGACGCAGAAACTGCTGACGTGTGCGTTTTCTCTCCTTTCGTCAGCTGTCCAGTGGATTTCGACATCCTGGGTCCCCTGCAGTACAGCGAGTCCAAGACGAGTGCCTCTGTCAGCTTCCTGGCACACAAGTTCCCGTACACGTCTTCAGTGTACTACCAGTGCAACGTGCGACTCTGCCTCAAACAAGCGGGCGGTTGTGACGATGTGGTGAGTTCATATGTTCCGAAAATACCAAAGCTGCTGCAGTGTGATAATTTTGGTTTCTCTCCCACATGCCTACTAGATCAGCGGCTGACGGCTTCAATGATACGACCTCTCGTTTCTATAAAAGTTCATCATGATTAGTTATATATCAGGATTAAATTCAACAACTCAGCTATCCCGACATGTGATGTTGCTTTTGTTATCTATCAAGTTCTATATCAATGATTCATCTCGCCGAACCATTTTCATTTAACATTTTACGAACGTTCATATAATCAGCTACCGAAACTGAATTTTAACGCTGTCTGCATGATTAAGTGTTTCCGAAGCGGGCAGGCTGCATCATCAACAGATTATGAATACATCTGTGACACTCCATCTCTCCCCTTCCCTCCCTCAGCCGCCGATCTGTCAGGCGGGGTCGAACGTGCGCCGTCGCCGGGAGCTGAGGAACGCCACTGTCGACGACTTCGACCCGAACGACGGCCGTGTTATCGAGGTGTTCAGCGGGCTCTACGTGGACGAGGGGACCGAGGCAGAGGCCGCCGCCGACCAGGGACCCACCAAGGTGCGTGAAATGGGGAATGAGGAGGATTTGATGCATTGTATGTATGTATAGGGTGGTATATACCTATTTATTTTGTGAAATGCAACATGGTCCATATCCAGACTGACCTATCGATCAGGCTCTAGTTTTCAGTGTGATTGGCGAAGAAACTGCTAAATATTGTTTTGTTGCTGACTGCTGTTAGGTATGTACATCTACCGCGTAACTTCACCGTTTAAACTTATAGACTCATCACTCAAGAGTATGTTATTTTGTATGGACTCACAATTTTATTTTCTTTCCCTCGCAGGAGGATCTGGAGAACGACGACCTCCTCTGCATCTCCCCACGGACGTTCGCCATCGTGATCGCCATCATCGGCCTCCTGCTGATGATTGCCGTCGTCGTAGCCATCATGATCATCATCAACCGGCGTCGGAGGCGCAAGGACATGTCGGCGACAGGCAGCTCTATCTACTCGGGGCCATACACAAACACGGCCTACTCACACTCTAGTTAGGCCAACTGCCGTCTACTGGCGCTGGCGTCGTGCGCGGTGAATGTAGGTGGCGCGAGTGAGGCGTGCGCCGGCGGCCGGCCTCTGCGGGTAATCGTCGGGGGTGACCGCCGCGCCGGCGGTTCGAGACGTGCCGTCTCTTGAATAAAGGAGCCCAGGGATAGTCCTGCAATGTTCTATGTGGAAATATGTAGTTGGAATCTCAAGGTACCTGTATTGTGTGTGCTAGGCCAGGCCATGCTGCCAATATCTCTGTCGGAACAGGACAGATTCTCCTTCGAGCTTTCTAGTAGGTTTCTGTCGTGGAAAAGCCTGGCTTTAAATGTGACTGGGCTCCCTCGTTCTCGAGACATTCGAGCACGCTCCGTTGTGTGATTCGTAGGACTGGATCCAGGAGGTGTGCTTTACCGAGGTGTGTGTCGCAATCCGAGGTGAATGTTGTGTGGGAGGCTGAGCGAAGCGCTGTAGATCAGTCATTGACTTCGTAAAGAAGAGGTCGTCACCTAGCTTTTTTAATAGGCTCAGATGTTTCATTGTGATATGGAGTCACCCGCGCTGATAATGCCAAGACTGCCTACACTTTATTTGGTGGTGAGACTTAACAGACAGATAACTAATCGTCTTCCCAAAGAACTCAATTCAATGCCGCTTACGGGAAAAGTGAAGGTTGTTGTTCATCATGAACCGCATTATCTGTGAGCGACAAATAAGTGTATTTCAGTGTGTATGAACTCACTGTAGATAACCATTGTTTTAGTGTGTTAACACAAAAAGAAATATACTATAATAAAACAAATGTCATTTTTATTTTTCATGTCCCGTGGGCTATCGATAACTTTAGGGACGCAATGTATTTATTTATGCGTTGTGAGAACAGTGAATGAAAGACCAGAAAGCCTTCAATTCAAATATATTTACATGTCATATTTATTGTTGCTGTGCCTATTTCAGAGCCAGAGTTATTATTGGTAATTTTACACCTTCGGCAACAAGTAATGAATTCAATATAGGGTCAAATTCCATGGATATAGGTACGTAATGAAATGACTAATAAGCATTAATTTCAGTTGCAGTTACCTTTTTCCGATGTCAGCAGCACGTCATCTCTATGAGCATATTTTCATAAATGGGTCCGCAACGTTTTGTGTTAGGGCCTCCCCCAACACCTTGACAATTAATCAAGCGCCCTCAGCACTCAGCACTTAAGCAGTGTATAAAAGTAGAAAACGACCAAGACATAGTCCCTGGAATCAAAAAAGGAAATCAGACAGGACATGAATAAGTGAATACCTCGTAATTAATATAACGTTCACCAATAGAAATTTGCTATCTACGTACCACCATGGGTGGAGAACCTGCCCCGGCCACCCCGGCCGTGGCCGGGGTAACTTTCAGCCTACCCCGGCGCGGCCGGGGTAACTTTTCCACTCTTGTGTACCACATAACGCAAAAAAAGTTCTCGAGTTCACTACATAGTGCACAAATGTACATTTATCAATGCACTATTGCATGTCATCTACGTTCGTAAACAAGTCAACCATTCAAGCTCTTAGAATGTTCGCACAAACTATATATACTAGGGTTGACTATTAAGTAATGGAAGTGCCTTTAGCAATTAAAAGTTTTTGCACGTTCACATATTATTTTGGTGCCATCACGTACGCCGATGTTTTTTCTATCCAATGGTGAAGACCAGGTGTCTTTAGCTACATTTTGCTCTGAGCTATCGACGTTTTCCCAAGAGACCACCCAAACCTGCGGCGCACGACAAAAAAGGAGCCTGGCAATGGCCAAAATCGCGCGCCAGCGCGAGGTCATTAACTCTCAGTTTGTGGTAGGGAAAATGCCTGCTGAGATCAGGAAATTTCTTTTAAAAGTGTATGGAGCGACGGCATCAGGTGCGCGTGGCAACAGGTGCGACGGGCGGTGTGCCGCGTGCTCGCGCAGATCAGCGAAGATGGCCTCCTGGCGGCGTTCCAGGACTGGGTCAAGAGGCTGGAACGGTGTGTGATGCTCGGAGGCGATTATGTGGAGTAGTGGGTGCTAGTGCTATTTATTGTGCTATGTGTATTGTTTTTTATGAAAATATAGCAACTTACATTATTATATTCGTGTAGCCAAAACACTTGGCCACTGAGCCCTGGTGATCTCGCCCTGGCGCACGATTTTGGCCATTGACAGGCTTCTTTTTTTGTCGTGCGCCGCAGGTTTGGATGGTCTCTTGGGAAAACGTCGATAGCTCAGAGTAAAATGTAGCTAAAGACATATGGTCTTCACTATTGGATAGAAAAAAGATCGGCGCACGTGATGACACCAAAAAAATGTGTGCACGTGCAAAAACTTCTAATTGCTAGAGGCACTTCCATTACTTAATAGTCAACCCTAGTAGGTGTGTTCGGTGTTCGGCTTTAAATCAAGCCATCATCATTTTTAACTCTTATTCTGCTAAAAGCTCTCATATAGTGGTTAACTCTATGTAACATGAAAAAAGGCATTCAGAGGCAGACAATGCATGTATTTATAATTCGACACGCATGATAAATACACACTCAAACAAGAAATTCGCACGAAAAAACAATCACACGTTTCTCTCATTCATACAGCGAGCAGAAATATGTTCGAGCGGGCAGTAGGTTGGCTTGATGTTGTGTTCTCTCGTGAAATCAATGCATGGTTCATTCATGATAAATACGCATCACTGATAGCGGGGCCTGTAGCCGACGATAACACGCTCATACCTGACCGGCGCCTCAACACGCACCTCAGGCTCCGGGGCAGAGTAGCTCTCCTCAGCCCTGACCTCAGCCCTGACCTCAGCCTCCGGGGCAAAATAGCTCTGCTCAGCTCTGACCTCAGCCCTGACCTCAGGCTCGGGGGCAAAATATCTCTGCTCAGCCCTGACCTCAACCTCCTCAGCTTTGACCTCGGCCTCAGGGGCAGAATAGACCCCTTCAGCCCTGACCTCAGCCTCAGGGGCAGAGTAGACCTCCACGGTCCTGACCTCAGTTTCGGGGGCAGAGTAGACCTCTACGGTCCTGACCTCAGCCTCGGTGACGGGCACCTCTGGCGTCGGGTACTCGGTCGGCACCGGCGTCGGCAGCGCGTCGCTCTCGGCGCGGAAGCCCAGCGCGTCGGCCACGTAGCGCACGCTGACCTCGACGCCCTCCGGCGACGTGTAGCTGTAGCTGCCGAACACGGTGCCGTCCCTGCTCTCCTCCTGCCGCAAGATGTTGTCCTCGGAGAGGAAGCGGAAGGCGAAGCCGTCCTGTCCGATGCGCTCGCTGGACTCCTCCAGGATGCGGACTGTGGCCGGCTGGATGGAGCGCTGCTCGGGGGCGGCGTAGGAGCGGGACGGCGCGGCGGCGCACGCGGCAACCAGGGCGGCAAACAACACCTGAAAGTAAAAAATAAAACAGCGTGTCAGTGCCTACTCTTGTCAGCTATCAGTATATCAAATGATGCATCTTGCAAAAACATTGCCTTTCGTCGAAAGATCAAAGATGTGCGACAGCAGCTCATGGCAATTTAACATTTTGCAAATGCCCGAGTAGACATTACCAGCTTCATGTTGCTCTTTGGCGGTTGGTTCACTGTACGTGTTTCCAAAGTGGATTGATGCTGTGACTGAGGACCTCTCCCATTATATACCGCGACTTCAGCCGAGGGCCGCCCTCCTCGGAGCGGGCAGGGTCACCCGGATTCCCCTCCTGCGACCGGCAGATGCTCCCTTTTTTTCCCCGAATGTCCTTCGTTGCCCAACCACATCGCGCTTTAGATATCGACCGCAGCGGCGCGCTACTGGTCACATTTTCGTGGTCATCTCCTGAATTCAGGATTGAGTAATAATTATTAGAGGGAATGGTCGGGTCACATAAGCAGCACTCGGTATCTTGGGAACGTACGAGCTCAGAAGTTGGTTTATGTGATGGTAATGGTTAAATAGGTTTAGTGTTTGCTGTACCTACAAGGTTTAGCAAAACTTGAAATGAGAAAGCTGTCAATACGCTCTGATGTTTTTCCTCATCATCTGGTAATAAAAAAATGATTGGATTGGACCAGAGTCGTGGAGTATAGAAATCGAAAACAACCGAATGGCATTCACCAAATTCTGCATGGCCATTATTGCATTGTTATGAGGACCCGATAAGTAAAGTATACTTGCATAAGAAAAACAACATATGGCTTACGGCTCCCCATTGACAATTATGGGGACACTAAACGTTATCGATCACACATGGAAATCCAAAGATATTCTAGAATAACTTAGGATGACTATGTTTCATATAATGTTTCCTGGTAGTCATGCCATTCGGGACATTGTCAACTATTAGCTAATGGGCCTTCGATTTATAATTCGCTGATTATTTCACGAACTTTATGTTGCAAATTGCAGACACATACATGTTATTAAGAACGGCCGGGTCGCATTAACAAACGTGTGAGGTTCGACGAGGTTAGCCTGTAGGCTGTAAGTCAAACCTCTTTATTGATGGCTCAGAATGCAAAAAAAAATATTGGGTGGAGACTTCCACTGGCGTCCATCTGGCGTCTAACTGAGCAGACGTCCACTCCAAGTTGGCGTCTAACTTGGCGTCTCAACTGTTGGACGGACACTTCCAAGCTAGACACGTCAAAAGTTAGCCGTCGCCAGCTAGACGCACACACAGAAAAATATTGACACCGTTAGCGGTGTAATTGCACAGTACATATCTGAGCACTTGAGGAAAGTTAATTTAGTCCCTTCCCCGCTTAAATTACTCGCGCTTCTAAATGAACACCAGGAAGAAGGTAATAGAACACTGTTAGGAGGGTTGGGTGTTTTACTACATGTAGCAGAACACCCAACCCTCCTAACAGTGTTCTATTACCTTCTTCCTGGTGTTCATTTAGAAGCGCGAGTAATTTAAGCGGGGAAGGGACTAAATTAACTTTCCTCAAGTGCTCAGATATGTACTGTGCAATTACACCGCTAACGGTGTCAATATTTTTCTGTGTGCAGCCGCCGTCCAGCTAGACACGTCTAAGATTTAGGCACGTCTAGCTAGACGCGAAATGGAAGTCTCCACCCATTATCTTTTTATGCGGATATATGTATATGTAGAATGCATGCGTAAGTTCTTCTTCGATAAAAACTGGCATTCATAAAACGAAATTGAGATTAGGAAAAATAAATTTTGTTCTAGTGATATCAATTAGAAATAGCAGCAATTACCTAATAACAAAATAAAACAAACAAACAAACAAACAAACACACAAAAATTCAGACATAAATAAATAACGAATTTTAACAAAATCAGCATACACAGGCTGTTAAACTGTGTATTACTCTGTATTAACCGAATGATACAACTGTAGCCGTCAATGGGTGACGGTGATTTCCAGAATAAAACTTTTGCGTATGTAGCTTCAAAATCCAATAGCTATGGCCATGAGCTGGAAATGGCTAAATCGTACCTACATAGTACATTGCATGACGTATCATTAGTGTAAAAACTAGAGGCATCATGAAGGTATTAGTGACCACCGGGCTCATGAGCGCCGAGGGTGCATTGAGTTTTGGAATGCTAATGGGCCATCATCACATACCTACTTATCTTTGGTTTCACACATCACAAAGACAGAGATGTCCGGTACTATCGACCTCCAGGCCGCATGCGTGACCCATGAGCCACGCGGCCCCTGCTCTGGTTCCCATGCCCGCGTATTGGGTAACATGAAGCTTGAGATGAGATGCGGACAGCCAGCTACGTTCCTTCGCTCATTCCGTCCCCAAGACGTGACGCATTGCTGTGTGACACAGCTCAGTTTTCATCACCGATTGGTAAGGTGAGCCAGAGACACGCGGTTACCATATTTGTCTACCGGGAGTGGAGTTTCCCACTGGCACTTGACCCTCGCACATATGGGGGGGGGGGCGGATGGACCCCCATGGTTTTTCGCCAATAACTCGCGCAAAAAGCGGCCGATCGCGACAAACCTTTCAGTACCCTCGAATTAATCAATTTTACACGTACTCTGAAAATTCCATGACCCTGACCCAAGTGACCTTTGACCTGTGACCTAGGCCGGAATCGCGATTCGGTGTATGTCGGCTAGCATTAGCCGCGCGTTTGCAAGCTTTTCGTGGTTTCAAACGTTCAAACATGTGATCTGATGTTGCTCCCATGCATTAGGGTGGATGTCAGTGAAGGTCAGGTCAGGTCATTGACCTTTGGTGACCTCGGTTCACTTTTTCGTGTTTGACATGTTTCTAGGCTAGTTGTTGGAGCTGAATTCGAATTTAGAAACCGTTTAAACATTTACGAAGTATAGTTTAACCCGGCCGGGCTCGGGGGGTAATCCCAACCACCGCAGCTCGGGGGGGGGGGCGTTTTTCGCCCCCCCCCTGTCTAACTCCGTAAATAAGGGAGCTAATGAAACAAAAGCGATACCAAACGAAAGCTCCTTACGAGACGATTCTAAAGCACCTAAAATTTTTGACCTCAGGTCAATTTTCAAGGTCAGAGGTCAAGGTCAAAGGCAAAAACCGGCACATGTGTAGTGATCTCAAAGTAAGCCTTCTAGAGGACGGCAGGCGGCATCAAACCGGCAAAATTGGGTGTCAAACAAAAGAAGAGAATCTGAGGATTCCGAAAATGTGCTCAAAATTAAAGGTCAAGGTCAAGGTCACGCTCAAAATTGATCTCAAACTTGGCACTTTTTCGCACATCTTGCGTGCTAACTTTCAAGATGTTTTGAAATGTTTTGAGGCTTATCAGTTCCCTATTTGTGGTTCCTCTTACGATACAAGGCTGCTCAAAGGTCAAGGTCACTGAAGAGTATCCCTGCTAGAGGCTATTTCACTAATTCAAGTTAGTAATAATAAATAAGACAATTTTGCCATCCGGAAGCTCTAAATGAAGGCTTAGAGGAAAATAGATGCCAGATTCGTGATCAGCGGGTACAAATCCATCATAAACGACCTTTCATGTGTCAAGGTCAACCAGAGGTCATTCGAGGTCACATGAGGTCAACATAAAACTTGACCTTTTCCGAACAAAATATATATCATTCGACGCGGCTTGACAAGGCGAATGCGATGGTACCACTGCCGTAGCTCTAGGACCATTTTTGTCGAAGTTATTTGCGAAAAACTAAAACCACATTTCGGGGTCGTTGACCTGACCTCTGACCTCAGGTCACCAAAACTATTTTTCTATTTTTCTCTAGGTCAAACGCTACACAACCGTGCTGGTAATTTGTCTTTATCTCTAAAACTCTATTTTTAGCAGCTATTTGAAGTTTGCGTCTGTGACGCCGAAGTTTGCCGTGCAGGGGTCTAGAAAAATGGACCTTGTGACGTCATCAAGGGGGCTAGGTCCAAATTTTTTACTTCAGAAGATGCCAAACTGATGGGAGAAAAGGTACTGAAAGTTTCGCTTTCCTATCCCTAAGCGTTCGGGAGCTATCGCAAATATTCGCCAGGGGGGGGGGGCGAAAAACGCCCCCCCCCCGGGCCCGCGAGGGTTAAGTGCCTTCGTAACATGTTACGAAGCTGTCAGAGGCGGATGACACGGACTACGAATACCTGTCACGACCCTTGCTGGTTCACCGGACCTGATCCGACCAAACCTGGTCTAAATGCTTAAAGACATCATCTGTGATAAAAACTAACACGATATTCGTGATCAGCACCCCGAAAAACCCTATGACAGCCACATTTTACGATTTTCTAACAGGTCCCGATTTTCCCGACTCTTGGGTCATTGACCTGACCTGGAAAGTGAACCAGTGACCTAGGACCTTAACCTTCCAGGCGGTGGGGGGGGGGGTATTTTTTTGCCCCCTCCCCCCTTAGTTTTTGTTTCAATATATCTCAAGAACCGCTGCGCCGATCGTCACCAAACTTTCAGTACCCTCCCGGGAGCAGCTAGCGCACATGGTGACCAAAAATTTTTCCAAAGGCTATGATAGGTTAGCCGCTAATGACGTCAGAGTGACGTCATTTTTGCCATTTTCGACCCAAAAAAAGGTTTCGCGGGAAGAGCTGTCAGGCCTACAGCTTTAGAGATACAGAAAAATGTTTTAGACATAAAAGGTGTGGAATCAAAAGGGCTACCAAAATGATATTTCGGTTTTTCGATTTTTTTGGATTTTGATCCCCAAAAATAAAAAAATATATTTTTTGAATATAATAGCCGAAAAATCCAAAAAGTTTTTCGAATTTCGAAAAACCCGGAATAAATGTGATAGTCCCTACCGCCTTCTATCTACATACCAAATTTGAGATCGATATATCTTTTTTTTGGCCAGGTTATAGCGAAAAAAAAAAACTGTTTAAAATTGATGACGTCAAATTTTCAAACTCAATTTTTAGCAATGCTAGACCTCGTAGCGCAAAACAAAGACCACCATTAGATTCCCCATGAGGAGCTGCATCGAATGGATACTCGCTTTATGCAAAAATATTAACTTTGAAATTTGACCTTTTTTACCTGACCTTGACCTGACCTCCACCAGAAAGTGACCTGATGGTCTTATAAACAACACCATTGAGTTGGAAATGAAAAACTGGTCATAAAACATGCATCACATAACCTTAGTAAAGTTAGGCTCATGTGGTGACCCTTGGTGACCTTTGGTGACCTGACCTGTGACCTGACCTGGTATGACCAGTGACCTCTAATAGCAACATATGTACTAGACAACTGACGTCTTATCGCTGATTTTCGACAAAATGCGTTTTACTCGGTGTTATAGCGCTTTCCCTAGAAGCCCCGTGAACGGTGAAACATTTTATCTTTGACCTGACCTGTGACGTCATCGGTGACCCCGAGGTCAATGAAATTTGGTTTCCTTCGACAAATTTGACAGGGCTATCGAACGCCGTTTGAATTTTCCGGACCCGTCCAGTAGTTTCGGAGATACGAGGAGGGGGGGGGGCAAAAAATGCCCCCCCACCGCGCGGAAGGTGGCTGGTAGGCCCACCGCCTGCCGGGTTAAAATTGGGTATCATCGGCTTCCTCTTGGCACGGGCAGCACGCTCGTTTTTTTCGCGAAGCTCTAGCTTGATCAGGGGCCAAACGGCAAGGGGGGGGGGTACAACCGACCCCCCCCCCCCCCCACACACACACACACACGGTAGAAGCTGGCAATCGCCGCACACATGCGAGGGTTAAATTACGTAGCAGTTGATCGGTGAATGGGAAGATATCTGACTTCAGCAAGAATAAATCAACAGCCTTGTATAATTGTATTTACTTATTGGTTTTGGTTGTTTCGGTTAATGCGGATCGATATATGAACGCTATCGTAAATTACATTCATGATCGCAATATCAAGGCTTCAAATACATCATCTATATGCACCGTTACGAGACGCAGCGAATTGTACCCGATTTTACAATAGCAGGTCAACCAGTGACCCCTGAGGTCGGGTCAGGTGCCCTAAAGAAGGGGTTTCATTTTTTTTTTTTTTTTGTAAATAGCCTCGCCAAAGATGGTCGCAAGGCCGAAACTTTAGCACAATCGTGTTTCTCATGATCGGGATTGATGCATTGTGTATTATAGGGAAAGGTTGACGTAAGAGTTTTAACCTCAGTTCAAGCTCTGGTCGCACCCTCTCAGGTCACGAAGCTGGTTGAAAGAGGTTATGTCACATAGTTTGATGCGGTCGATATTAACCTGAGTCTGTTGGTAAATGGTAGGTTTCCCGACTCGCTATCTCAATCGGGAATTATTGAATGAAAACTCGGACCACCGTCCTTAGTGATGTCATATGCATATGCGGTTGTGGTTGTGTTTGCGGTTGTGAGATCTCGGGGGGACTACAAATTCATCTAAGTTTCATCTCCTTGTGGAGGAGGATGGCAATGAGAGCGTTGCGAATCGCTACATTTTAGGACCGGGCAGAGATTCACTTATGACTTCATAGTTCAGTAACCCGACCTGATCTGAAAGTGTGGTTGCCGGTTGGTATCACAAATTCGGTTTAAGGTCAGCTGTGTCAGCTTTTAGCTTTCTATAGCTAGTGTGTTCAAAGCAATCGCGAAAAAAAAACTAAAGGGGATGGCACCGCCCTCTTTCCCTTCGACCAGGAAGAGTTAAGTCGTCTTAGTTCTTCAGGGCAGATTTGTCCTAAGTGCGAGTTGTCAGGGCAATGTCACAAGATATTGAAATTTTTAGCTGCAGAAAACGCAATCAGAACTGGTAATTTTCAGTATTGGTAGATTTTATTACTAAAGAATTTGAATATTACAGTTAGATGGGTCTTTTTTAGTTTTAGCGGAATCATGCTTATATCGCCTAATAAAAACATAGAAACAAGAAATGCTATAAAACGTGTGTTTATTTTGTTTGAAAAATGGTTTGGTTGTTCTCCTTCACACCGTTGTCATCGATCACCATTGTTTTAATATATAATCGATTCCCAGACGATCAGCTCTTGTGGTAAAATTTGAGGCACATCCTTTGAATCTACACAAAGTTGCGTCCCTCATTTTGAAATTCTGGCCATCTTTCACTCATGACCATTTAGATTCAATGGATTACTGATCGCACAGACACAAAAAGAGACACCGAAATGGCTTTTGGCCACAAAAGGCGCGTTCAGAGCACGCATTCACCCATATGAACCGTTGCGGATGGATGATTTTGCCTCCGATCGATCCGATCAGGTAACCTGTTCACATTAAGGACGGACGTGCCCGGTAGATGACCATGAGAGCCAGCATCCCCCCAATGCGGCCGGTTGTGAAATATAGTGAGATTCTCCCCTCGAAACGGGAGCATCTGCCGGCCGGGAGATACCGGGCCACCAGGCGACCTTGTACAAACGACGAGCCTGGACTGGTCCGCAGGGTAGTATAAAATGGTGATGGCTTCCTGTATGGATATCACTTCAGTCCAGATCATACACAGTGAAACATCACAGAAAATCATGAAGCTGGTAAGCTTTATTGCAATTTTTTACGATAAATGTGTTATCATTTCAAGCTACTTTGTTGGAAAACCGTCATGAGAACTCTACTACGTTATGTTTCGGGTACAGCGTATCCTAACATGACACAAACTTCTTTCATTTACTTTCAGGTGTTGTTTGCCGCCCTGGCTGCCGCGTGCGCCGCCGCGCCGTCCCGCTCCTACGCCGCCCCCGAGCAGCGCTCCATCCAGCCGGCCACAGTCCGCATCCTGGAGGAGTCCAGCGAGCGCATCGGACAGGACGGCTTCGCCTTCCGCTTCTTCTCCGAGGACAACATCCTGCGGCAGGAGGAGAGCAGGGACGGCACCGTGTTCGGCAGCTACAGCTACACGTCGCCGGAGGGCGTCGAGGTCAGCGTGCGCTACGTGGCCGACGCGCTGGGCTTCCGCGCCGAGAGCGACGCGCTGCCGACGCCGGTGCCGACCGAGTACCCGACGCCAGAGGTGCCCGTCACCGAGACTGAGGTCAGGACCGTAGAGGTCTACTCTGCCCCCGAGACTGAGGTCAGGACCGTGGAGGTCTACACTGCCCCCGAGACTGAGGTCAGGGCTGAAGGGGTCTACACTGCCCCCGAGGCTGAGGTCAGGGCTGTCCAGAGCTACACTGCCCCCGAGCCTGAGGTCAGGGCCGAGGAGGTTGAGGTCAGGGCTGAGCAGAGCTATTTTGCCCCCGAGGCCGAGGTCAGGGCTGAGGTCAGAGCTGAGGAGAGCTATTCTGCCCCCGAGCCTGAGGCGCGTGTTGAGGCCCCGGTCAGGTATGAGCGTGTCATCGTCGGCTACAGGCCCCGCTATCAGTAAATGTCCCTCGAATGCGTTCTATTTATCGGTGCATGAACGAGAATACCTTAGCTTGTAAAAGCTCTGATATGTCTTAGGGCAGTAATGAGTGAAGCATTGCTCGATGTCTGAAAATAAGGTGCATTGTGCATGGCTATTTATGAAGGTTTTTTTTTTAAGTTGTGTGTCTAACTATGTAATGGTGAGTGAAAGGTTTGGAAAATAAACATGGTATTGCAATCGAGACGAATGTTTTAGAACTGTGGTGCATGAAATATGTGACAAAACAACGACAACTTGTGCGAGGCAGGCATACCAGGCTTAGTGAAGCAATCTTGTACCTGCCAATACTATTCCCAGCATATCTCACGAACGAATCTTTAGATGAAATCGGTACAAAGCGGTCCATTGTAAATAAACACACATACATACACGGAAAGAGACGCTAGAGGAAGATAAGGTCTATGCACACAGAAAAATATTGACACCGTTAGCGGTGTAATTGCACAGTACATATCTGAGCACTTGAGGAAAGTTAATTTAGTCCCTTCCCCGCTTAAATTACTCGCGCTTCCAAATGAACACCAGGAAGAAGGTAATAGAACACTGTTAGGAGGGTTGAGTGTTTTGCTACATGTAGTAAAACACCCAACCCTCCTAACAGTGTTCTATTACCTTCTTCCTGGTGTTCATTTGGAAGCGCGAGTAATTTAAGCGGGGAAGGGACTAAATTAACTTTCCTCAAGTGCTCAGATATGTACTGTGCGATTACACCGCTAACGGTGTCAATATTTTTCTGTGTGTGGTAGACAAATGTGCGATAGACATTTTCATGGTGAGCTGAGTGTGGACTAAATACATGAACGTTGAAAAAAGAACAATTTCTTGTACGTGCTGAAGATATGTCGAATGAAACTATTATTCGGCAACTATGTATTAGGTCAACAGCTATTTATCGGTATTGCCATTTATCGGTATCACTGATAATAAATGAAAGCTACACACAACAATTCCTGGTGTTATACAATACAGATATGTGTATTGTGCAAGGATCCAAGCATACGAGAAAATAGATCTGGGATCTGGTCCCAAGGATACTGATCTCGGATCCAATAGGATCATATATCCAGCACTCCATGGTTTAAAGACCTATTGGTATTGTGGTCTGAACCTATATCAGTCTCTAAGAGATCCAATGTTTTTTCATAGATCATTAATCACTTTTTGTCGACACATAAATATTAAAAGATTACTAGTTGCAACATGCAATGGTTCTGTTTGAGAGATATCATGTGATTGCACACCAAATTCACAGCTTCTTGGCATTTCTAACCATAATTGCGCGGACACAAGGTTTAACAGGCCGCATGTGTTACCCGTCGCCCGTATTCGTGTTTGCCAGCCACGAGCGTAAAGGATCATAGGATTAATTTTTAATTTTTTTTTAAATTTTGTTCCAGAACTACTTCGTTAATGTTCAAATGGCTGGTTAATTCGAAATCAGCAAAGAAAACTAGCCTGGAAACATGTAAAACACGACAAAGTGAACCAAGGTCATGAAAGGTCAATGACCTGTCCTGACCTGACCTTCACGTGACCTTGACACTCATCACAAATCACAATGCATGGAACCACCATCATTTCACATGTTTGAACGTTTATTATTTTATTCTATTTTTTAAATTTTGTGGTTTTAAACATTAAAACCACAAAAGGATTGGAAACGCCAGGATAATGTGAGCCGACATACGCCGAATCGCGATTCTGGCCAAACATGGTCTCGAGAAATAGGTCACAGGTCAAAGGTCATTTGGGTGAGGGTCATGAAATTTCCAGTGTAGGTGTCAAATTAATCACTTCGAAGGTATTGAAAGTTTCGTTGGGTTCGGTCCATTTTTGCGCAAGTTACCTGCGAAAAACCGAGGGGACATGGGCCCATTCGACCCCCTCCCATATACGAGTAAGTGCGATTGTTTTCAGCGTAGCAGCCCAGTCGGCCAAGATTGGATTGCGATTGATCACCAAGAATGCGTACTTAGTACAGGATACCAAGACAAGATGCAGTACATAGGATGTCATATAAAGTTCAAAGTCAAGGTTAGGTCAGATAATCAAAGGTCGTATAAACGAGCTATTGAATTGAACATTTGTAACACAATTTTTATGGGTCATTATAACCATAGAACGCAATGGGAATACCCAGTTAGTGATACGGACCATAGTTCATTAAGGTCAGTCCAAGGTCAGGTCAAGGTCAAGACAATACATGCCATATTTTGGGGTTGATTTTAAAGAACAAGGTGTCTGTCTCTTATAGCTTCTTTACGACAAATTGTTATGAAGCTGTTGCCGCACTTACCCATTTACTTATCTTCATGGTGCCTTGGTCAGGGCCATCAGACACGGTACAGTATTCCATTACACACGCATTCCGTTCCATGGACATCTTCTATCCAGCACAAACGAATGACAAGACAATTTTGGAAACGCGAGGACGCCATAGTCCGGCTTGTGCCCTCTATCCACCGGCTCTGAGACTGTTGAGTAACAGTCGACATTCATAGGGGATAAAAACGGGAGTGTCTGCCGTTCGACAGGGAAGGTGGACGATCCTGCATCCTCTCCGTGCCGGCAGACCGTGAATAACTAGATCAGGTATAAAACGGGGAACGGCGGCCAGGGATCCATCAGTTCTCTGAGGACATCACAAGTGCCTACAATTGCGGCGAATATGAAGCTGGTAAGTGAAAAAAAACACACAAAGATATATTTAATAATACTTGCAATTGATGGAAAAATCACTCGTGATTGTATTTGGACTCAGCATTGATCATCAGTGAATATGTCTTTTTTTACATTATATTGTTTATGTTTCAGGTTTTCTAATCGTTCAGTTGAAGAGCTCTGGGAAGAATTCCTCAAAGCAATGACAGTCACTGATGAACAGTGACTTATATAAATGCATACGACTTAAATACAACTTCCATAATGTCTTGCAATTTCAGGTGTTGTTTGCCGCCCTGGCTGCCGCGTGCGCCGCCGCGCCGTCCCGCTCCTACGCCGCCCCCGAGCAGCGCTCCCTCCGGCCGGCCACAGTCCGCATCCTGGAGGAGTCCAGCGAGCGCATCGGACAGGACGGCTTCGCCTTCCGCTTCCTCTCCGAGGACAACATCCTGCGGCAGGAGGAGAGCAGGGACGGCACCGTGTTCGGCAGCTACAGCTACACGTCGCCGGAGGGCGTCAAGGTCAGCGTGCGCTACGTGGCCGACGCGCTGGGCTTCCGCGCCGAGAGCGACGCGCTGCCGACGCCGGTGCCGACCGAGTACCCGACGCCAGAGGTGCCCGTCACCGAGGCTGAGGTCAGGACCGAGGATGTCTACACTGCCCCCGATACAGAGGTCAGGGCTGAGGTCAGGGCTGACGGAAGCTATTCTGCCCCCGAAAAGGATGTCGAGGCCGTACGGCGCTTTACTGCTCAAGAGTTTGATGTCAGGACCGAGCAGAGCTACACTGCTTCCGAGGCTGAGGTCAGGGCCGAAGAAGCTGAGGTCAGGACTGAACAGAGCTACACCACTGTCTCCGAGACTGAGCTCAGGGTTCCGCCGGTCCGGTACGAGCGTGTCATCGTGGGCTACAGGCCTCGCTACCAGGGACAGATCTGTGCAAATGATATTTCATCTCAATCATGGTCCTAAAGGTTCAGTTTCATTGCTTGGGTGCGGGTGCTAGACTCCAATGAAGGAAACATAATTAATGAGTATCTCATATCACAGTTTGTATTTCGTACACATTACATGTCGTGAAGTTGAAAACCGCTTTCTTGGATGGTTGAGAGGGAGTGTTGAATGTGAATGTTTGTTTACTTTTTTTCTTATTTATTGACATTTAAGTAATAACTACGGTTTCGGTTTCGACTTTCGTTTTATGCATTCGATATACATCTTTGCACACGATTTGTATTCTATGTATATTTCCTGTGAACTTTGGCATACACTTCAGATAGATAGGTAGCTAAGTATGAATGCGCAATTTAATTGATGTCTATCTCTCTCGAATATAAAACACGCGACCTTTAACCCTAGAACGCCTAGGGGGGGGGGTTGTATCAACCCCCCCCCCCCCTGAGGTTTTTTTCGAAGTGCACGCTAAACGGCTTGTCGTAGCGGGCTGAAATTTTCAATACCCTCTGGGGCAACCTTTGCGCATCTTTTGCCGAAAAAAAATTGATCGGGTCATGTCAGGTTACGGAGTTATGACGTCATAAGAGGTACAGCCTTCGGCCGGATTTTCACAAACTGAGTGCCAACGCCCGAGGTTTCCTGCCGGTGGTACGGACATCGGTTGATGGATCGTGATGAAACTTCCCATGCATGTTGGGGCAAGTATTGGCTATCATATGGTATAAGAAATTTGACCGGGTCAGGTCAGGTCACGGAGCTATGACGTCACAAGAGGAACAGCGTCCGGTACTATTTTTGAAAAGCGCCCGAACCACTATTTTGCTAATTCTTGTCACCTCAATGGGAATATGCAGCAATATTAGCTTCTATAGGGAGCAAATGGACCTCCCAAATCCAAAAATACAATCAGATTTCAAAAATTTAAATTTTGATTTTTCGAATTTCTGCCGCCGACTGTGACCTTGCCGACTTCCGGCACTCCCAACGCGCCATTTTTAGAGCTAGGGAAACGAAATACATACCAAACGATAGAGAATTGATCAAGGAACACGATAGTGAAGGTTTCAAGTCGATATCTCCCACCGTTTTGCCGCAATCGCCGCCGAAAGTTGAAAAAAGTCTATTTTTCCGAAAATTTGACCTTTGACCGGTCAAAAGTAGGTCAAATGTTGACCTAGGACCAAAAAATATACCACCAATCGCGAGATCTCGTTGAGAGCAATCCGTTGGTTTTTTCCGCTAAGCTCTACGACCTTCCGTTTCGAAACGCCAGGGGGGGGGTCGTAACAACCCCCCCCCCCCCTGGTCGTTCGTGTTATGAGAAATGGCCTGGTCGTGCGAGGGTTAAAAAGTCTCATCGAGGGTGTGCCAGTGACGATGCAGGCTGATCCCAGGATCAGGGTTTTGGGGGAGGAATTAACCCGCGCCGGGCCGATGCTGCGCGACTTCCGCGCCGGGCCGTGTGTGTGTGTGTGGGGGGGGGGGGGTATTTGAACACCCCCCGTCTAACTCGGCTTTGGGACACGTAGAGACACTCGGTAAACGGCATTCGAAAGAGCGCCAAAAATAATGACGGAAGCACTTCGGTCATTTTTGGGTCAGGTCAAAGGTCAAGTCACCAGAGGCCATCAAGGCATCAAAGGTCAAATGTAGTCCATTTCATCAATTCTGGAAACTGCCAACGGCTGGAACCAATAGAGGTATAGCGCCGCGAAAAAGTGCATTTGATAGCCCTTTTACAGACCTTTCTAAGTAATGTTCTCAGATTTGACCTCAGGTTTAGCCTCCAGAGAGCAAAAACTGTAAAAACAGCCGTTTTCAGGAAAAAAGGTTTTTCGGTAATACCATTGGATTCAAGCAAGCCACGACAATACTTTTGCAAGCATCTTGTTCCTCTCGTCGAGCAGGGTCATCAGTTGAGCTTGAAAAGTCATTTTGAAAATTTGACCTCACCACAAGGTCATGACCTGACCGGAATGGGTCATGTTGCATATCAGTCGACCTGTATCGTCGAGTTGAATACACCTGGTGTGTTTTCATCGCTCTAGCACGTCTCGATCAAAAGTTTTAACCAAAAAAACTGCTGGTGGCCGTTCATGACCTGATATGACCTGAGGGGTAGGTACACAAAGGGGTCATAGTTGCATTTTCCGATTCAGTGTGTCAGTGTGTCAGTGTGTCATGGACCGATAGTTGAGAGTTTTGAACACCATTCGTCCACAAGAGGTGCATTTCAATTTGCTCCTATTGACTTATAATGGAGAGGTCGCAAAATTGACCTCACTTTAGGCCATTTTAGGCCACCGATATCAAAATTCCGAGATATACATTTTGTACATACTGTTACTCTTATCAATCGCTGAAAGTTTCAAGGCGATCGTTCAGTCGGTGTAGCTATGACGAGGATTTAAACTTTTTTCTGGGGTGAGGTCACTTGACGTGACCTGGTAACCTGACGTTGAAAGCCCTGTGTCTGAATTTTTAACAACATGTGCGGAAAAGATGCATGGACAGGTGTGCCTAAAACGGCGTCGCTCCGCGCCGCTATTTTTGAGATATCTGCGAAAATCGCAGGGGGGTGTTCAACCCCCCCCCCCCCCGGCCCGGCGTGGGTAAAAATAAGAGACATTGGACTAGGCGGCCACCCGAGGCTCAGCCGGTCACGATAGACACCGGGCAGTGGAATGAGTGCACAGGCTATACCTATGCGTCCAGTCTCTTAACCCGCGCGGGGCCTTGCGAATTTTTGCAATATCTCAAAAACGGCGGCGCGCAGCGCCGCCAAACTTTCATTACCTTTTCTTACATCAATTTGACACGTTCCCTGAAAATTTGAGCGAAATTCTTCGGAATTCTTGAGAAAATGACGTTTTAGTGACGTCATGTTCGCCATTTTCGCATCAAAAAACGGCAAAATTTCAAACGCCGCTAGTATCTTCATTTTTAAGGGAATCAAGACGTAACAAAAAAGGTTATACGTGATTCTACTTTGTTTATTAAATCACTATCTCGGTTGTTTGAAAAAAATATTGATTTTGGCCCAATTTTTTTTCTAAAAAAAAACTGACTTTTTTGGGAAAATAATTATAAAATCCAAAATTTTGCATGTATAAAAAAACCGGAATATATGTCAGAGAAGTGGTCCATGTGCACCTACATACCAATTTTTAGAAGAATCGGTTCAAAAATGTGGGAGTTATTCAAAATTGTATGACGTCACGAGAAACACATTTTTTGAAAAAAAAATTGGAAGTTCTAGACATCTTACGGAAACAAAAATAGCACCATTCGATTCGCCGTGAAAAACTGCATCAGATAGACACCTTTTTAGGCCTTAACAACCAACTTCAAAATTTGACCTCACTTGACCTGACCTTGACCTGACCTCGACCTGAAATTCATCCCGATGTGGTCCATATCACCTATTGAGTGTGCCTATTGAATTCTGTGAATAAAATGACCCATAAAACATGTGTCGCACATGCCCTTTTCTATATTTTGTTTTGGTGACCTGACCTGACCTGACCTGACCTTGACCTTGACTTCTGAATGATATTGTATGCAACAAATATTGTCTTGGTAGCCTAAGAACACGTTTTGGGCAATCAGTCTCAGTCCATGACTCCATTCTTCGGCAACTACGGTGCAAGGCCGATACTGTAGAAACTTGCAATTTGTACCCTTGACCTGACCTTGACCTTGACCTCAAACTTTAAATTAAGTACATGTTTTTAGTCGTTCATGATGAGATCTTTCGATTGGCTTTTGAATTTTCCAAATCGGACCATTAGTTCGGAAGATAACAGGGGGGAGGGGGTAAAATTTGCCCCCCCCCCCAGCCCCGCGCGTTCGGCTGGGACCCTGCAGCCCCGCGCGGGTTAAACGGTCACCCCACAGCATGCCCCTGAGGAAATTCCCTGTCAGATGAATTTGTCCGGACGGTCACCATCCAGCCCGGATCATGGTGTTCGGTGTAATTAAAGGGGAACGTTTGAATGTCCTGCCTAGTGCCTAGATATCATAGAGATCAGAGAGGCCGATTATGCCTAACCGACATAACTTAAAGGGACCCTCCCACCTTAACATTAGATTTGAGTTGAGATAGCCAAAATGGGGTCCCTGGCTCACAATTACCGGTTTCGGCACTCACAATATCGAGAAATGCCTTAAATCGGAAATATTGAATTTCAAAATTGCAGCATTTTGATTCAGAGGGGCTAATGCATAGGAATACCCCTCTGAATGTGTGACGTCAGCGCAGATATCTAACGATTTTTAACCCGCGCCCGGCTGGGGGTCCTGGATTTCCACGCCCTGCTGGGGGGGGGGGGGTGTTTGAACACCCCCCCCCTTGTAACTCGGCTCCTGGGCCACGTAGCGATACGCGGAAGGCGGCGTTCGAAAGAGCGTCAAAAATAATGACGAAATCACTTTGGTCAATTTTTTGGTCAGGTCAAAGGTCAGGTCACCAGAGGTCATTGAAGGCAAAATTTCGCCGATTTCTAGGTCGAATGTCGAAAATTTCCAAGAAGCCAACGCATAACTCGGGAACCAATAGAGCTACAACGCCGCGGAAAAGCGCATTAGATAGCCCTATTAACGCCCTTTCTGATTAATTCTCTCAGATTTGACCTAACGTCAACGGTTTTGCCTGCAGGGGGCAAAAACTGCAAAAATAGCCGATTTTTTCGAAAACAGTTTTTCTGCAATAACTTTTGACCCAAGCCTTGTACGAACTTACTTTTACCGGCATCGTGTTCCTCTCGTCAAGACGCATCGAATGAACTATAACTTGACCTTGAAAGGTCAACTTGAAAATTTGACCTCAGGTCAAGGTCATGACCTGACCGGAAAGGGTCATGTTGCATATCAGTCGATCCGTATCGTCGAGCTGAACACATCTAAGGCGTTTTCATCGCTCTAGCATGCCGCTATCAAAAGTTATTTGCGAAAAACTGTTAGATACCATTCGTGACCTAAGATGACCTCAAGGCATACACAAGGGTCACGGACACCATTTTCATGTTCAGTGTGTCTAAACCACTTGTAATTCGGTGTTTGGGAGTGTTTATAATGTCTTTCATCCAAAAGAGGCGCATTTCAATTTTCTCCCATTGACTTATAATGGGGAGGTCGCAAAATTGACCTGACCTTAGGTCATCGATATCAAAATTCTGAGATATACATTTTGTACATGCTATTGCTCTTAGCAATCGCTGAAAGTTTCAAAGCGATCGGTCACTCGGTGTAGCTATGACAGACATTGAAATTTTTTATGAGGTGAGGTCACTTCAAGTGACCTGGTGACCTGACCTTGAATGACCTTGGTCTGAAATTTTCACAACATGTGTAGAATTGATGTATGATAAGGTGTACCAAAAACGGCGGCGCGGAGCGCCGCCGTTTTTGAGATATTCGCGAAAAACCACAAGGGGGGGTGTTCAAACACCCCCCCCCCCCAGCAGGGCGCGGGTTAAATGTTTGACTAAAACGTTTTGTAGCACGCGGTGGTATATGCTGCGTTGCGCGCAACAAATGCCGCACTTTTAAATATAGTCGCTAGGAACAGCGGAGATCCCAAAAAGTAAACAAAAGTAAAAGTCTAATATCTTGAAAACCGGTGAATATTTTTCGATGAAATTTGGTAGATATTCGTTTTTGCTCTTTCTGAACCGAGCGACATCACTTTCATGCCAATTCATTAAGTTTTTTGAAGGTGGGAGGAGGGTCCCTTTAAATAAAGACGGTGTCTTTCACTTCTCGGTCCACCTTACGCTTATGATATTTCATAATTAGATAGGTAGGTATCGAAGTGTGGGTCTGGGACCGTAGTAATGGCGGATCCAGAAAGGCAGTCTTATCTCTGCGGAGTGCGGGCCGCAGGGGGCACACCTACCCCCCCAAAAAAAGTTTTTCCAGTTTCGAAAAACAGCTCGGACATTGGATTTGGAATTCATACGCACTTCCATGCATTTTAAAACAAACTTTTCCTTTTCAAAGCTGTTTTATTTTCCTTTTGTTCTCGAAAAACCATACATTTTCGTCGATTTCAGTAGCCGGTAGCCGCGGGGGTGGCATTATTTACCCCAAATGCCCCCCCCCCCCCCCCGGCCGTTCCCTGAATCGCCGGTGGATCGTAGAAGGGTGAGAAGCAAGATTGGTGGTTACATACAAAGGTGAAGACAATTTTTCAAGACAAAATCAAAAAATTTGCATTTATTTTAAGTGTCAAGTGAGTAGGTACAATGTGATATATTTTCTAAAAACTGTATGGGCTCAACATGCATTTTCTTGCCATTGGCTACTTACCTGACATCTGGTGGTAGTAGTCCCAAGCAATGGTTCAACGGCCCCTGGCTTCGGTAGGCTAGTTCAGGCTCTACTCGCTAGGTGGCAGTGTCATACAGGTTTCGGCGATCGATGCTGACCGGCTGCGCCAGCTCCGACCCATGTGAGAAGCGAGTACAGTTATGTGTAGTGCGGCAGGGGTTCGGCGGAGACGCGTGTCCCAGTGCCCGGCTGGTAGTGGCGCGAGCTGTGCGTGATGTGTGCTTGACAGAAAAATTTGCGAAACAGCCGGAGACTGCGATCAAAGCACGGGGGAGCAACTGCGGAGTGATGCCCAGCACCATCAGAGGTCAGTGAACCCTTGCCGGTTGACAAGGTCATTGAACCCGGGATCAGCTGTTCCCGCCTTGTTATGATATGCGCGGGAACTGGAGTAGCGCGGGATTCTGAGGCTGGAATGAGGGTGTAATTATTGTTTTTGCTCACAAGGGATCCTGCCCACATGTTCCAGCAGCCGGATAATCCGTATTTGCGAAGTTGTGGCTTGTTGAACAGGCTCTTTTTCATCAATGTTGACGTCGGTGCCCGCCGTGCGCCGTGCAGGTCGCATCTTCAATTAATTTAAGTTTTGAGAAATCTATACGATGCACTCATTTGAAATTTTGTGAGCATTAAACGTTCGTAGCAAGATGCTACTGTGTAACGATCATTTCTTTACCGTGAGTGACATAAAGCATTGCCTGCTTGTGGCACGGGCGTCACCTTCTGAACATTATTTGTAAGGCTCTGGCGGGTTATTTTAGATTATCTCAGGCCATGGATGTCGTTTTTTATAGACTTGATAAGGCCGGAATCCCACCAATATTCTTAGAATTTTAACGTTAGCCCTGTGGCGATGCATGGTAAAAATGACTTTGGTACCATAACATTAGCTATTAGAGCCCTACCAATAAATTTCGGAAAGTGGCACTCGCGTCTAAGCCATTCTTATCATTTAATGCCATAGGTTTAAGGTTAAAATGTCCAAATTATTGGTAGGGCTCTGCCTACCAGGCTTTTTCATAAAAAGGCACCAATGTTTGCTGCTAATTCGATAATTTACGTTTAATAGATGCTAACTGATATTGATTGGATTGACTGGCTGATGCATAGACCTCATACAGAGGTTTATGGCTGATCTTATCTATGAACAAATTCAGAGTGGAAAGCCTGCAATACTGAGTTGCTGTTCTTGCATCTCCATATCGCCATGGATGATGGATGCGGGATCCACGGGTATTTTCTTGGGGGGGGGGGGTGAGGGGAACCGGCAATTGTATCACTTGTCCATGCGTTTCCACGACCGCTTTGTTGGAAGTTGAATTTTTGCGGGCATGACCGATCCTCGTCGGATCCGTCTATAGACCGAAACTACTCGTTGGGTGAGTAGGTTTCCGTCTACATATTTTTTAGTTAAGATGCCAGGTCAGTATAACAGCATCCCCCGGCACTTACATGAGGTTACTCAAGTTAGCATGTTAATGATATTGTTTTACATCGGTGCCTCAGTTAACCCGCGCCCCGTAGGGCTACCGGCGGACCCTACCACCCGTAGGGGGGGGGGGGGCCGTTTCGGCCCCCCCCCCTAAGATCTCGGAAAGTTACCGGCCGATTTTCAAAATTCAAACGGCGTTCGATAGCCCCACCCGGGAACTACCTTGTGACCAAATTTCATTGACCTAGGTCAAAGCGATGACGTCACAGGTCAGGTCAAAGGTCAGATTTTCACCGTTCACAGGCAATTCAAGAAATGTGCTGTGAAAGCGAGTAAATTGGTAATTTATTGAAAACCATCGATGGTACATTGTTCGTCAAACACATACCTTGCTATCTGAGGTCACTGATACCAGGTCAGGTCACAGCGAGGTCAGGTCACCGGGGGTCACAATATGAATGTGTCGTGTGATACATGTTTTATGGTCCATTTTACATGACAAATGCGATTATATGGGTTAGGCAGCCTTTGGGGCCACCCTAGGTCACGTTTTTGTGAAGGTCAGGTCAAGGTCAGGTCAAATTAGGTCAAATTTCAAAGTTAATATTTTTTCATAAAATGGGTATCGATTCGATGCAGCTCGTCACGGGGAGTCTAATGGTGGTCTTCGTTTTGCTCTACGAGTTCTAGAATTGCCAAAAATTGAGTTTGAAAATTTGACGTCATCATTTTTGAACAGTTTTCTCGCTATAACTTGGCCAAAAAACGAGGTATCGATCTGAAATTTGGTATGTAGATAGAAGATGGTAGGCACTATCACATATATTCCGGTTTTTTCGAAATTCAAAAAACTTTTTGGAATTTTTGGCGAATATATCCAAAAAAATGTTTTTTTGATTTTTTGGGGTCAAAAATCAAAAATTTCAAAAATTCGAGATAGCAGGTTTGTAGCCCTGTCAATTCTACACCTTTTATGTCTTGATCATTTTTCTGTATCTTCAAAGCTGTAGTCCTGACAGGTCTTCTCGCGAAGGTCTTTTTTCGGTCGAAAATGACAGAACATGACGTCACTCTGACGTCATTTGTGGCCAACCTATCATAGCCTCTGGAAAAAATTTTTGGTCACAATGTGTAAAATTGATGCCCGGAGGGGTCCTGAAAGTTTGGTGGCGATATCTCCAGCCGTTTAGGAGATATCGACCGAAAAGGACAGGGGGGGCCGTTTCGGCCCCCCCCCCCTACGGGGCGCGGGTTAACTGTTCCCGTCTTCCCAATTCCCGGCCATTGAAGCTCAGCTTCGATCGCTGGACGGCTGGCCTGTGTACCCTACCGTAGGTGACATCCAATGCATCCGTCCAGCCCGCGGTCAATGCACCCGCCAGTCAGTGCATGGCGTGCGTGCACGCACGTGCGCACCCCCTCCCACCCCCGCCCACCCGCTGTCAACTCAGGCCGGACACCGTTTGATGCGCCGCCACCCGGCCAGCTCACGTGACCCAGCCGGTGTGGTCGGCACACGGTCACGTGACTTAGATAATATCAGTGATTGTGCTGGCTACCCACCGTATCTTCCTTGCTCTGCGACTGGGGTATACGTGAATGGGACAGCCAGCAGCCACTTTTTGATACGGAGTGCGTAACTCATTGAAGTCTAGCGAGAATATTTTTGAGGTATGCATCTGTTGCTGCAGGCGAACGCAGTTCATACATATCTTTCGTGATTTTTGATTTATGAAATGAAGCTAAAGATCGCTCAACGCAAGGAACATTGTATCTTTATTTTCTTGTATAGTCATTATGATAATTGTCATTTGAATACGTAACATATCATTTGAGAAGTATCGCTATTTTCTGTGATCGCCCTGGGTCGTCGACATTTGACACACTTTAGTACCTCGCGATGCATTGTCGATCTGGAATGCCATTCAAAATGTATACTGAACATGGTATAGCGAATATGATGCGCGACCTTGCGACGGGTCCCTGAAATTGAATGGAGAAGCCATCTAAATAAATTAAGACGGTCATCGATTATACCTTGCAACGTTGATGGTTAATTATAACGTGTGCCATCTATGCAAGGCGGCTGGATATGAACACCGGTGCCTCTAAACACGTTATCATGTATCCGTCACGATTATCGTGCAGATGTTCCTATCTAACCTCAGGTCATATTGCGTATCATTTCATCGCCTTACTCGTTTTCCGCCTGATACATGGGCGATACGGAGGTAGATATCCTACATGCAATTCATGTGGGAGGGACAGTGACCGCGGGTCATCACACAATGTGACCAGTGCATGAGGTAGCGACAAATTTCAACTCTTTATTTCCACTTCGTTTGTCAATTTTCAATAACCTGACACAACTACCATACGGGAATAACAGTCACGGCTCATGAGTCTAAGTCATGACGCCAGGTAGCGGCGGTGGCGGATCCAGGGGGGGGGGGGGGGAAATGGGCATTTGCCCCTCCCAAACGGCATAATTTTAACATTACGCCTATGGACGAGGCATGGAAAGAATCGATAAATTGTTATGGTTTGCCCCCCCCCCCAAAAAAAAACTCTGAGCTGGATCCGCCTCTGGGTAGCGGCAGACTGTCAGTTGATAGACTTGTTTTGTCTATCATGTCCTGCCCGGTCTCATGCCTCATATGCCTCCGTGTCTCATATACTGACGGACCGGCTCATGGCGACAGTTAGTAGCAGACTTTGACTCGATTGTCCGGTCAGCAGACTGCTCGACCAGCAGCAGCAGCCGGTATGCAGACTGTCTCACCAGCAGACTGTCCACCGTTCATTGTCTGGCCACCGGACTTCCCGCACTCAAAACTTTTTTACTACCTCCTGGAGGGTTCATTTTCATCAAACCAGCAAGATAAGAGTATATTGAAAGGGTAACTCTTTGCTACCATTATGTGCATAGTAACGGTACGTGGTTAATATGAACTTATTCGCCAGCGAAGAGTATTATTACCATGTAAATATCAATATTACTCTCGCGATCCAGAACATCACGAAAACTCTTTCCTTCTGGGTATCGTGACTCGTGTACAGATAGTCGTTTCATGCGTGGATCTTGTTTACCCTCGTGAAGATGATATTTGAAATGGAATCACTCAGCCAATCAGAAACGAGATCGGCCGTTTGCGGTTTGAAGGCCGCGCGCATCTGTCAGTTTTCGGCCGTTGGTCTCCGAGAGAGGATGTGAGCAGTGTCGGTGCCGCGCGGCGTGGCCGTTGGTGATTGTGCTTGCGTGTTGTTCATCGCCTATAGAGCCTCTGTGGACATTTTATTGTAAGTACCGATGTGCTAGAGCATTGCATGCCGTTGAGTGGTGCTAATTTGACCTGGTTAACAGGACCCCGTGCACGGCCACGTGGCCTAGGTTGTGAGTACGTACATTAATTTTGTTGTGATGCTACAAGTTTATGCATTTTGTTGGTGACTTTGAAAGAGCCTTGCACTGTAGTGATCCAGTCTCATTATCTCACGCAGACGGGCGACCACCCAGGGACGCCGTCGCTCTCTTCAAATATTGTGCGCTGTGCCTTACCCAATATGAGGGCGCTGAATGTCTTGTATTCACATTCAAAGTGCATTCAAGTTGTATCGTGGTGTTTATTTACCGCTTGTGCATTGCTGAACGCTTCGTATAAATTCGTATGCATAAGTGAAGAGTCTCACAATGTTCATGGCTGGTGTGCCCCTCGTATTGTTTGTACGGAAGCCAAATATACATTGTTGCTCTTGAAGCATGTTTTTTTAGTTGGTGTGAGCTCCGGTTAACAGAAGCTTCGTGAAGCTTCTGAAGCAAGCGTCGAGTCTGTTACCATCCTCTGGGGGGTTTACACTAAAGGAAAGAGTAAACA